GCGCCGGGAATCTCAACGGCGTCAGATCCGTACTCCTGAGGGATACGACCCTCCACGTAGCTGACGTCTGTGGTGTTGTCAGCGCTGCGCTGTTGTGCGTTTGCTTTTTTGGTGAACTTTCACAGCAAGGAAGGGTCTGTGTGTTGACGAGATCGGGTGTTGCTTTGGAGGGGATTCAGGAAATTCGATCTGAACTGTGTGATGGCGTGCGTGTACAGTACAATCAAAGAAAGACTTACACTCCCAGTTGGCCTTCGTCGGGTCATACAGCTGCAGCGTATCAATGCTTCGGCGTCCGTGTGAGGTCGCCAGGATCGTCGCGGGGTCGACGCCTAACTCCGCGCCAATTCTGCAATGGCGAAATGTCGCCACGGTTAGCGATGTTCCGACAGAAGTTGTACGGGTTGCGGTTTGGGGGTGTTATATAGAGGACTGGACTGAACTAACTTGTGCCAATGTTTCACGATCGCTGGTGCGGGGGAGAAAAGAGAAGCATCAGAGCGTCAGTTTCGGTCGATCGAGGTGCCAGTGGGCGACCGGGCGAGAATGCAAATCATAAATAGACTTATGGCAAATTTTCCGAGAGCACTTACCATCGGTTGAGTCGACGATGGTACCGTCAAAGTCGGAAAGGAGACCGTCGAAGGTGAGGATTTGCGGAGGGGCAGAGAAAGAGCCGGTTGAGTTGGACATGATAAGAGCGGGGTCCGGAGTAGGACAGCGGACTGGTGATGCAGAAAAGTGAAGAGGGGTGCTGTAAGCAGTAATAGAGGTTCTCTCCAGAGCGAAGCGAAGTAAGGAGTTGACACAGTCCTTTGCGAACGATTGACGGGAATAAGCCGAAGAGTAAATGTACCGTTTGTTTGGCGGGATGGGATGAGATGATGGAGATAAGTGATTGATTAGGTGATTGACCCGCGCGGGAAACAGAAGCCTCGGAGATCGGCCAAACATGGGGCCGGTTATCTTAGCGTCAAATCTTGGCGGCACAAAATTGTTGTTCGCAGCGACTCGATTTTCGCTGGTCTCGCAGATCAGTTTGCTCGGCCTTGATCGCTTCTTTGTGTCTGTGATTTGATCTCTGCCAGATTATTCAAGATGGTCAAGCTCGGTAGGTTTGATCCTGTACTACTTTTCCTCTTTCGCAAGAACTGACCCTTTCCAGGCAAAAACTCCAAGCGGGTGCCCGTCCGCTTGAGGCACAAGATTGAAAAAGCCTCTGCGGCGAAGCAGCGCAAGATGAGAAAGCTCGCCAAGAAGGTAAACACCCTGCTGCCTCTTTTCCGGGTCAACATATCCAGCTAACACGGCTACTAGAACCCCGAATGGCGGTCCAAGATCAAGAAGGATCCCGGTATCCCCAACCTCTTCCCCCACAAGGACAAGATCCTGCACGAGATCGAGGAGAAGAAGCGCTTGAAGGCGGAGGAGCAGGAACGTATCCGTGAGGAAGCCCGCGCGCGCCGCGCCGCACAGAAGGAATCCGGAGAGCAGGGCGCCCAGACTGGCGCGGCGATCGACGAAAACGATCTTCTCGATGATGAGATGGACGAGGACGATTCGTCGAACCCCATGGCTGCGCTGCTTGCTTCGGCCCGGGCTCGTGCCGCCGAGTACAGCGACAGCGAGGAGGAGGATGACGACGAGATGGACGACGACGACGAGGATGACGATGATGACATGGAAATGGACGAGGAGGAGGGTGGCGCTTCCCTGGAGAACATTGCCGCCCCCTCGTTAGCAGCACAGTTGACCTCCAAGGAGAGCTCGCGGAAAGCCTTCGACAAGGTCTTCAAGCAGGTCGTGGATGCCGCTGATGTGGTCCTGTATGTGCTGGATGCTCGCGACCCCGAGGGCACTCGATCCAAGGAGGTGGAGCGCGCCATCATGGCCGCCGACCGTGGCTCGAAGCGGTTGATTTTGATCCTCAACAAGATCGATCTCGTTCCCCCTCCGGTCCTCAAGGACTGGCTGATCCACCTGCGTCGCTACTTCCCCACTCTGCCTCTCAAGGCCTCCAACGGCTCGGGCAACGCGCACACGTTCGATCACAAGCAATTGACGGTGAAGGGTACCTCGGAGACTCTCTTCCGTGCTCTCAAGACGTATTCACAGAGCAAGCAGCTCAAGCGATCCATCTCCGTGGGTGTGATCGGGTACCCGAACGTTGGTAAATCGTCCGTCATCAACGCCCTGACGGCCCGCATGAACAAGGGCTCCAGCAACGCCTGCCCGACTGGCGCCGAGGCCGGTGTGACCACCAGCTTGCGGGAGGTGAAGTTGGACAGCAAGCTCAAGCTGATCGACTCCCCCGGTATTGTCTTCCCCAACGCGGGCGAGAAGAGCAGCGGCAGCAGCAAGAAGGGCAAGAAGAAGCAGGAGGAGCACGCCCGTTTGATCCTGCTGAACGCGGTTCCCCCGAAGCACATCGAAGACCCGGTCCCCGCCGTGTCTCTGCTGCTCAAGCGGCTGTCCACCTCGGAGGATCTCGTGGCCAAGTTGCTGAAGGTCTACGGCGTGCCGCCTCTGCTCCCCTCCGGGGGTGATCAGACCCACGACTTCTTGGTGCAGGTCGCGCGGAAGCGTGGACGTCTCGGCAAGGGTGGTGTGCCCAACCTGGAGGCGGCGGCGATGACCGTCATCACGGACTGGAGAGACGGCCGCATTCAGGGATGGGTCAACCCTCCTGTGCTGCAGGTGGTGACGACGCCCGCCGACGGCTCGGCTGCGGCTGCGGGTGTGGACACGAAGAAGATCGTGACGGAGTGGGCGGCGGAGTTCAAGATCGAGGGACTCTGGGGCAACGGCGAGGGCGAGGACGAGGAAATGGCTGAATAGATGATTTGTTCAGGATACCAGGCGTTTATGGTTCATAAAAGGTAGATAATTGAGCATGATTTCTTCTACTATCACGTTTTCTTTCGTAAAAGCTTCTTTGCCTGGTGGTCATCGCCTTAGCTCCTAGTGCCGATGATCGATAAGCTGGCCAGGATTATGGTTGTGGTCATGGTGACATGTCAGTATATTTGACCGTTGGGGGAGTCAAAATATATATTAGTAGCCCTGCATACAGAGAGATGCACAAACTATACCACAGTAAACCAACCCAGTCAACCAAAAGACAGAAAGAACCAAACCGCAGTGCATCAAGCAAATCCCAAACAAGAAAAACATCATCAACATCCAAGATAAAATCACGATTTGACCTTTACTTGTACTGAGGTGTATACTTGAGCCATCCACCCATCCACGCATGCACAGTCCCGTGCCTTTCCTTATCGCCACCAATCGATAAGTTTCTCAACCCCGGCAGCGGGAAGAGTAAAATGGGATTTGATCCACACGCGCTTTTCCTTCCGACAATTCCCATTCGCGACGCGTCATTTTCACTTTGACTGAGTCTGTTCACAATTCTCTCTACCCAACATCACCATTGCATTGTTCTTTTCGGACGAAGAAACCCTCGATCCTGAACCCATCGACCCGGGCACCCTCCGAGACCCAGAATTTTTGACCGCCGTGCGAAGGAAGAGGGATCGGCCACCAAGAGCCTCCGAAAGACTCGATCGCGAACAACCCTCACCCCCAACCGCAGCCCATTTCCGTCTCAAAAACCCATCAGTAGAACAAGATGGCTCGCAAATCCACCTCCAACACGACAGCAGCAGCAACAGCAGAGCCCTCCTCACCCACAACGCAATCCCCTCGCTCCCACCCATCCTCCTCCTCCTCCTCCCCTCAAGCCAACAGCACAGCAGCGACAGCAGGAGCACCAGCAGCTACACCCAAACCCAGCGGGGGAACCGTCGAAGCGACAGAACAGCAACTGAAAGCCCGCGCAGAAGCAGGCGTAGGCATTGAGGTATGCCCTTGCCCTTGCCCTTGCCATTGCCCTATTCCAGCCCATTCCACCACTACATCCCCCCAAACCACACCATACAAAGTAGAATACTTACCCGAAAGAAGGACTACCTCCTCCCACGCACCCTAACAGTCCGCCTCGCCAAATCCGTCCTTCCGCCCAACACCTCTCTCCAAAAGGACGCGGTATTAGCCCTCCAGAAGGCGGCGACGGTGTTTGTCTCGTATTTGAGTTCGCAGTACGTTTTCCCCTGTCCCCTGCCCCCCTGCATTCTTTTCTTGAGGTCACTTACGGGCAAGAGTCGGCGTGGCTGTGGTTGGGATAGGCGTCGCTGGACACTTGTTTAAGGCTGGGCTGGGGCTGACGTTTCAACGTGTGCAGCGCCAACGAAGCAACCCTCAAACGAACGGTCGCGCCGGCGGACGTGTTCCATGCGCTGACGGAGTTGGAGTTTGATTCGTTCCGGGCGCGGTTGGAGAAGGAGTTGGATGCGTTTACGGAGTTGAAGGCCGGGAAGAGGAGGGGAAAGGGTCAGGGGGGTAGTTCGGGAACAGCAGTGGCGGCGGGAGAGAAGGGTGTTAGTGCTGGTGCTGGTGCTGGTGCTGGTGCTGAGATGATGGAGGTTGATGAGGAGGATGAGGATCGCGGGGCGAAGAGGGTTAAGAGGGGTGCTGCTGCTGCTGGGGCCGCTGCTGCTGCGGCTGCTGCGAAGGAGGATCAGAAAATGTCGGATGGAGATGAGACGCAGGAGGAGCCGGGGCAGGGAGATGGGGATGAGACGGAGGAGGTGGAGGAGGTAGAAGAGGAGGATGACGAGGACGAAGACGACGACGAAGACGAGGAGGATGAGGACGAGGAAGACGGCGAGGAGGAGCCCAAGGAGGAGGATGATATCGACCGGGTCGAGGATCTGGATGGAGGTGATGCCAGGCATCGCGCCAGAGTCATGAACCCGGATGTCGACGGGGATGAGACCGACAGTGAGAATGAGTCTGGGCCCGGGAACCAGCTGAGGGGGGAATTAGGTTAACCACTTTTCTGAGGAAAGATCCGAGTCTAATGCTTGCAATGTATAAATGCGTGTTGATACCCAAATCAACTACAGTTATCCTAATACTTCAAAGTCATCATATGCCATAGAAATTGCCTTCGACAACGCCCAGCGGTTGCCATATTATGCATTGTGATAGTACAGTTGAACCCGTAGGCTCGGGTAGAGGTAGAAATAATGAGCTAAGCCAGAGCGGACGCAGCCCTCCCATCCATCAATAAATGCTCTCGTGGACATCCTCCATTTTCTGCCGAACACCTGAAACGCCAGCACCCCGAATAGTCTATCATTGGTATCTCCGTAAACCAGATCCGAACAAATCCCCGACTGAAATCCCGCGAAAACAAAACATCAAGCAGTATTTACGCAGCCGGCTCGTTGAGAAGGCTGCTCATCCCATTGGGAACCGATTTTGGCGAGATGGTCTCCGGCTGTTGCCAGCGGCTGGTGCTCCGAGGAGGCGTCGATTCGCCCTTGCCCACCAGCTGAGGAACCATCGGGCCATTGTTGCGCGCAGCGCCTGGAGGCAGGGGAACCATCGGCTTGTTGTCTTCCTTCTCCAACTTGACAGCCTTGTCGCCGTCGGCCGTGACCTTCTGCGCCTTAGTGACCCTTCCGAAGTTGTTGATCTTTGAGTTCTTGGCCGGCTCTGTCTTCCTTGTCCGCTTCTTCGGCACAGTTTTCTTGGGCGCAGCCTTCTTCGTGCCGCTGGTCTTGGAGGCTTGGAGGACGTCCTGAAGACTGCGTCCGCGGCTAGCGGGATTGGGGCACGCGGATTTGGATAGTGCTTCGGACAAGTCCTTCGAAATCTCCTCGTCATGGCTGGAAGACGGAGTAAGAAACCCAGTAGGTGTGCGCTGCTTCTTCCGGGGCGTCTGGATGACAATCTCGACTTCTCCTTGCTCATTTTTCACCCGCTCGGCCTCGGACAGATTGCATTCATCAAATACCTCCTCTGGAGCATCCCAGCGCTTGAGCCCTGCGAGCCGAGCGACTTCTTCGCAATCCCCCTTGACCATCAAATCCCAGCAGTCCTCGAACTCTTTCCCACTGGGGGGTTCGTTGTTGATCCACATGGTCACACCGTTGCGACGACTCCGAATCACTGAGCACAGGCTCTTTACTAGGCGACGGACGCCGGGGATTTTCAAACTCGTGCCCACCACAATTAGAGCATCCGGGCGAGAGCGAATGTCTGCATTCATGACGGAGGTGATGGCTTCTTCATCCGGGTTGTGTTCGTTGTAGAGGACGAGGCGCGGTCGCATCTTGCCGATCCCGTGACTTCGCTGGCCCGTGTCCATGCGGAATTGGTTGTTGATGACGCACTCGGGACACTCAGGGGCATCCGGCCGATCGAACAAACTCCCATCAAAGTTACTCAAATGGCGGCACTTCTGACACACCATTTTCTCGAGACTACCGTGCAATTGAATGGTGCGCGGCCATGGCGCTTTGACATTAAGAGGAATCTGGGTGACCAGCGGGGGCATTGATGTCTCAATCCCATCAATGTTCTGAGTGTAGAGGCGCGTAAGGCGGTTTTCCTGGCCCAAACGAGCCAGCATGTGGTGGAACGCGGTTGGGGAGGTGTTGGCAGCCTCCTCCGACAGCGACCGGACCATGTCCTGGAAAGAAGCGGTCAAGGCTTCATCCTGATACACCGCAGCATCGAAGAGGAGCTTTCCCGACGCTTTGAGGTTGTGTTTCTTTTGCAGAGTTTTAAAGAGACCATCGCTGGAGCGGAAATCGGGAACTAGCAGGAACAATCAAATTAGAATTAAATGCTGTCATTGTGGTGTGGGGGCTTGATGAAAGGAAAAGGAAGGGAGGGAGTATAGGAAGGGTCCTTTTGGGGCAGAGTGATGACCAGGGGAAGGAGGTTGCATACTTCCTGCAGACGTGGAAATGCCAGCACCGGCAATGACGACAATTTTGCGATGACGGCGGAGAGTCTTGACGAGATAATCGATCTGCGACTGCTGCTGATCATAGGAGAGGGAGGCGCCAGACGATAGGTCAAGATGCTGAGTGCAGCGTTCCTTAGGGGCGGCCACCCGACGCTTCTTCCGAGCGGGCGGCAAGTCGTCTTGGCTGCGGGCGGCAGCACTACCATTACCACTACTAGCTTCCTCCGTTTCTTGCTGCGATGGGGGCGGCGACGGATAGAACTCCGGTGGTGTCATCGGAGAGGGAGGAGCTGAGCTCAGGCTCGAACAATCCGAATCATCATCCATGCCTAGAGAGGCTAGCTGACTGTGTGGTGTCGAACACGAAGAGTTGAAGGAGGAGGTGGTGTTGGAGGAGGTGGTGGTCTGGGTTTGAGATCGTGAAGTAGGCGCCATTTGGTCAGACCGGGAGGAGGTTGAAGAGCAAAGAGAAACACAAAAAGTTGAATCACACGAAAAAAAAAGGTGGCCGGTCGAAAGCAACTGCTTTTGGGACGGAAGTTGTCGGGTACTCGTACTAGAGATCCGTGGAGAGTAGCATCGAGCACGGATGAGAGAATTGGAACATCAATTGCAGACGAGGAAGGACCGGTAAGGGGCGCGGGTTCCGAGCAGAGAATTTAATTCCCTCCAGTCTTCCTTTGTTCGGAGGGGAGAGGGAGGGGGGGGGGAGGGGTGGATAGAAATTGACAAACGACCTGGAACCAGACACGGAGAAGTAAAGATATTTAACAATCAGAAGGGGGGAAAAAGAAAAAATAGCGACTCAAACAGAGAGGAAGAGGGAGAAAAGGAAGAAGGACGAGGACGAGGACGAGGACGAGACACCAGAAACAGAACAGAACACTCGAGCCCCGTGACTATTGGGGGTCAAGGGAGAATGATGAGGTCAAGTGGGATGATGGTGGCTGAATAGGTGAACAGATGAATGGAACAACAAGGAGGAGAAAGAAATCTAGCCAGGAAGAGGAGGAAAGGAAACTAGAAAACTGGAAACCCTGAAGGAATTGGAACTGGAACACCCGTCCGGCTGCCGGTCAGATCCTCTCTTTTTCGCTTGCAGCGTGTTTATTTTGACCCACGGGCAAAGAGAGAGGAGCCAAGTTGTCGAAGAGAGAGAGAGAGAGAGAGATAGGGCACAATGCCAATGCTGGCTGCTGCTGTTGCTGTCGGGAGTCTAGTGGGTAAAAGGCGGGGGTGGAAGACCAGAGAAGAGAACTAAGAGAAGACAGCAACGGTCGGTATGTTTCGAAGAATGTATGAATCAATTGGGTTGACGGTTATAGTTGGTTGATATCTTTATAGATGCTATCTGGCTCGTTGTTGCATGGCGAGGCTGTGATATATATTATTATATCATCGGACAGGGCAGGGCAGATATGGAAAAAAGGAAGAGGGTAACGAAAATTCTGGTAAAGCCATACGCAGTGGGGGAGTGTGTTTCCACAGTGTTGGCTGATCTCGTTACCAGACTCTTACGCTGCAAAGAGAATCGCGGTTAGACACTCCCGTGTCTACTTCCTCCTCCCCTTCGTTTGATTGGCGGAACCAGCATAGTTTTTATAGTCCAGGTTAACTGGCGCAGTGAGTGAGTGCTGATGTTCCCCCTCCCAAAGTCGCCCGGTCGCATTGTGTCTGGCAGTCCATTGACAAGTCATCGAACTTCAAGTGACATGTTTCTGGAACCGACGGTGGTCATCAACCCATATTTTTGATTTTTGTGATTTCTATTGAGGTGGCTCAGGGCTCCAGCTGGCTACTAAAACTTCCAATTTCAGCTAGCCCGCGTCCGCTTAACACTTCCAGCTCGATAGCATGGATCATGCTAGCACACAGGATGATATCCCAACATGATCCCCTTGGATCTGGGACACTAATAACAACACACCGAGACGCGTCTTGAGGTGCAGATCTCACTACCTGAGTATCAGCCACATCCAAAGAGCTGTCCACTTAATAAAGACTAATCTTCAAAATTCCGTACATCTGTCGTAAAGCACATGCAGAATGGTTACTGCCGAGCAGCGATCTCTAATCTGGTAGTTCGTACACCCTGTCCACAGCTACATCCATCCATCCATGGAGACGTTTGACTTGGTTCAGGGTTGATGATGTCGCGTGAATCGGAAGTGGGGGAGGCTTTGATTGGCTCGCCCGTTGGCCCGGCTACGGCAGGCAGCACATGATCTCACATGACGCTGACTAAGGGGCTCCGGGGACGGGATCCACCCAAGCCCGACTAGTCAGTTAGTAACTTACAAATGAAACTAACATCATGAGCATCGTCTGGATTCATGCTTTTTGTTCGCCCTGTGTGTGAGTAAGGGTGGATTACGAGCTTCGCAGAGTGGGAGGCTATGAGGCACTTCTCTGAATTCTGAAAGATATCCCAATACTGCCCTGCCTGGCGTCTGCTAGTCGTGTTCTTCAACACCCCACCCCGTTGTGACTGTTTCCGGGGTCTATCGCTTTAAACTATGCTGCCGGGCCAGTGCGATATCGCTCTCCCTTTTAGGCACTTTGATAACTGTTAATCAAACCTTTCCCCGTCCCATCATGCCCCTGATGATGGAGGACGGTATCAATGTTGACGATCTCTTCGGGGAGCCTGCCTCCTTGGAGCTGGGCCTGCCATCTACCACTTCCACTAAAGGCCTGGCCGAGCGCTTGGATGAAATGCGCTTGCTCGGTTGCTGCCAGTGAGTCGCACCCCCCACAGCAGATCATCTTCAGACTTGGCCAGCTAACATCCGAACCAGGAAAATTGCATGGTCCAAATTAGGATGCATTGCCTACGTCGCCCAGGACCCGTCCAAAGTCCATGTCCGTTATCTTCAGTGCCAGCCGACTGATGGCAAATGGACGCTCAGTGATGAGACACCCTTGCTGCCTGTCACGGAAGCCCATGGTGGCACCGCCTTGGTGCATCTTAGTTGGAACGAGTCTGGCTCTGAGTTGGCTGTAGTTGATTTGTCGGGCCGACTCTCCATTTATTCAATTCCGATAGCGCTCAACAGTGTCAACGGGCTTCGACCACCGTCCTTTGAACCCGACGATAGTGCGCAGATAGTCGGGATGCTGTGGTTGAACACCCAACGCTCCGTGAGTACCCTAGGAAGCTTTGCTGGAGTATGTTCTTAACCTTCTCCAGGTGCACGCTTTCTATCAAGCCGCCAAAGTGCAAGGTCGCTGGGCTTATTCGCCATATCGTCGTCGGCCAATTGGTCCCTTCCACCCAGCCAACAAGGCTGCGCTGGTCTACATCACCAGGTCTGGATTGATCAAGCTCTTATATCAAAACCCGGATGGTAAATGGGCCGAAATATCTGCCGAGCTGAAGAACACCAGTTACTCAGACCGGATGTTAACCCACGCGGCATTGGTAGCGACCCAAACTGGGATTCTCGTTGCCACATACTCAGCTTGCCAGAAGATCTGTGTCTATCGAGTGCAAATCAACTGGAACCCTCCTCAGTATGATCCTGCGCAGCAGCCGAAACAAACGCCTCCCCAATTTCCGGTTCCCAGCTTTCGTTTCGCACATTGCAAGGTCGAGACCTCCTGCAATGTTCCTGGTCCCGCGCGAAACAATGGGGATCCTTCCGATAATATTCACCAACCTCTCCCTAACTCTCTCTACTGCCTCACCCGCTTGGACGTCATCCTACCAACGTCTGATAATGCGGCAGGGTCCTCTGCAACCCCGTGGATCGTTGCAACATTCTCCATCCTCCCTCAGATCGCCCCTGACCATCCACACCAGCAGGGACCATCGAGTATTATTGTTCGATGGCAACTTGAATCTGCGCCCATCACTCTCCACCCCAAATTCGATGAAGTCACGACAAAGAGAAATAGCATGCAGATGAAGGCAAGTCTCTCGCAAAAAGCGAAAATATGGGAATGGCAAGTGCTAATATACGTCCAGGCCAAGGCTGTCCTCAATCGATTAGACGATATCTTTTGTGATAGATACGTCGTGTCAATAGATCACATTGAATACGCCAATGTGCTAGCCGTGACCTACGATGACAGCTCTATCTCTTTTTATGATCCAAAAACCATGGCTGCATTCAACGGAGTTGATGATGCGAACACGGTGACTAGCCTGGCCCAAGCGGGTTTCCACTATTCTCCCGACACTCCAGGTCAGTATTTATTCTTTTCCTCGATGATGAGTATCACTAAGCACTATATTTAGGCCTTCATTTAAGCTTCTCACCTAGCGCCTGTGCTGCTGTTATGTTGGACAGCAGCGGGCACGTCCAGCTTCGGGTGATGGAGCACTCATATGGAGCAGACAATGGTCTCTACGACGAGAGTACGTCCTTCCACCAAGTCAAACCGACTCATGCTCTAATATCATGATTCAGATAAATTCTCGGCAGCTATAGCTTCATTGACATTGGCATTCTGTCGTGGATGTGGAAGTGAAGTTAACACGGACGATATCTTATTAATATTAATACGTCAACTCTCCTCTGGTCAGCCACCTTCTTGTACTTTTCATGGCCATGTTTGAGACTAATGACAATTACAGACGCTCAAACCTCCTTCATCAACGAAGTCTACCGCGCGCTGCCCATCAATTGCAACTTCACCGTGGAACAGGACAAGCTCATGAACCACCCGTATATCCCACGTTGTCTCAGCATTCAGGCTGCACTGGGCAACAAGGGTAAAAATCACCAGCGAGGCTTCGCATCCTCTGTCTCGTGGTTTATCCTCCAACTGCGCCACGCCTCAATTCTCTACCCGTTCTTCTTTCAGTATAATAAGGGCATTCAAGCAGAGCCCCATGACCCTGGTATGATCACTCCGTGCGCCCAATTGAGATACTCACTAACCATATACTGCTCATAGATGTTCTTCGTATGGTCCTCGGTAACACCAAATGGGCCCTTGACTTTTCACTTTATATCCTCCACGAACTTTTCAATCTTGCCGACGAATTCGAAGATGTATCTTCCGACCAAGAGGCTTTCAACCAGAAACGTAAGTTGACGACTCCTGTCTTAGGAATGAAAGTTAACCTCAATGTTTTATAACAGTCAAAACTACCAACTCTCTCTCCCTCATAATCCTCCTCTCCAGCATGTCTCGGGCCTTTCTTCGCTTCATTTGCCGTGGCCTGCGCGGCATTCACGCCGGCTACGCCAATGCCCCGCTCACGGGCGACGCCCGCGTGTATTACGCGGAGATCTGCCAGGCTGTAGAAACGTCGCCTGCTGCCATCGACGTGTACGAGAAATTCCTCGCCGGCGTCGACTCCGCCGTCCGCCACGCTTACCACGGCGCCGGATTTGGCGACGCAGAACGCCCCGGCCCCGAGAAGGAGTTATTGGTCAGCGCGCGCATTCCGCCGGTCCTGGTGACCGCCGTCTCCACCATCCTGCGGCAGACGATCCCAAGTCTCCGGTCCGACGTGAACCGCATGGATATCTACATGCGTGACTACAGCTGGCTTGGGGTGGACTCGGACCGCCGCACGGAGCTGTACCGCCGCACCCGCGGACTGGACATCATCAAGAAGATTCCCATCCGGCTCACCCCCGCCACAAATGGGGCTGCACAACCGTCGCCGGGTGAGACCAAGTCGAAGGACGGCAATGCGGCGACAGGGGTAGCGGCGGGCCAGCCGCTACGAAGGAGGTGTGTGCGTTGCTGTGAGGTCTCGGAGGGGTCGTATCCGCCGCGCTCGGTGCTGGCGTTCCGGATGATCTTCAAATTGGGACATTTACGGGCGTGCATCTGTTGTGGGATGTGGATTCTGGAGTCCGGATCTGGTTCGTCGGAGGTGGGAAAGCCGATGGGGGCTTAATTCTTTTTTCTTCTCACTTGCGCGGGAATCTGGAGGTGCACATGACATGTGCAGTGGACGGAGGATGTTAGGTATGATATATGATGTATGGACAGTTTCGGTCACGAGCGTGTGTACATAGACCAATTGTCTTGGCACTGTTGATTTTTCGAGTCGGACTTTACTCGTAATAAGGGTAGTGTGAGAGCAACGGACATCCCGATAGTATAAGAAGGGGCCGCAGAGCAGCTACGTAGTAGGAACCCTGAAGAAATTACAAAGCCCACCACCTACACTACACATAGGCAATGGCAACCCAGAGAAAGAAGATAAAAAAAGTTGGAAAAGGTGTGGTATCATGTCATGTAAAGCCTTTCATTGAAGGGAGAGAGAGACCGAAAGAAAAAAAATTTTATGATCAATGATTAATTTGCAATCTTTACTTTTTCCGAAAGACAACAAAAGTTAACCAATTTTCAATAAAAATTTTTGATTTCTTCTTTCTCTTCTTCCCTAGATGGATTAACCGGACCCCCTTCCCACACAAGGTTGCCACAGGTCAAAACCGCGCCCCTTTGTTCATCATCAAGTTTTTTGGTTTGCAGAACAATTGACGTGTTCCCCCGTTTCAAAGAAAAACTAACTCCATCCCTTTGCCCTTTAAGGTTTCTTTACATTTAAGCCTGTATGCGGAGGAAGAGTTAGTGTGGGTGCTTTTTTTTATGCTGTTCCCATTCATCGTCCGAGGGAAGAACAGGTTGGCTTGGTGGATGGTGGATGGTGGCATATCGTACCTTAACAGCGTACTTGCGCTGGGGGAAGTGAATCTCCTTCTTGCGCTGGCGCTCAGTCTTGAGGGTGGCCTCGTGCTTGGTGAGGCGGCGGCGGATGGCGCGGGTCTGCTTGGCGCGGAGGTCGAGGGGAGCGTACTTCTTGTTCTGGTAGAACAGGCGGAGCTGGGCGCGCTGGTTGGCGTTGATGACGGTGAGAACGCGAGCGATCGACTTGCGAACGTCGTGGCTGTTTTTGCGGAGGGATCAATCAGCATTTCCAGTCTTGAAATTCCTTTTTGGAGGTGCTGTGTGATTTGTCGTCATTGTGAATGCGATATTGAGAATTGCGCCTGTCTGATATCGAATTTTCATGTCCCTTCTTCATGGTGTATTCGAATGCGGGGGGTTTGATTGTAGTTGACTTGATCGAATTCCTCCATGTTGAATCGTGACTCCTTCCAGTATTCTTATCCCCGCGGTGTTGTCGAAGTCGCTCTCGATTTGTCGTCGTGGTGTATACCGTATCGTCGAATCCCTTTCCAATCCTCTTCCTTTCCCCCCGGGTTTCCCGACAGGTCGCAATTTCTCGCATCACAAACACACACACACAAAAGCTCAAGGGGCAGAAAACAGGGCTATAAACGCACATTCTCGTGGTCTTCGACGAGGCACCGTTGGCGATCTTCTGGACACGGAGCTGGCTGAGCTCGGTCTTCAACTCCTCCAACTGCTTGGTGAGGTCATCCTTGCTCTTTCCCCAGAGCTGACCAGCCTTGACCTTGGACGACTATTTTGTGAAAATATCAGTTCCCTGTGCTCGTGGCTCGAACAGCAATCCAACATACCATGGTGGGCGGCTTCGTGTCGGTATCGTAACGGGTTGTCGACGTGAAGGGGATTGAAGATAGACCGGGTCAATTTGGTGATGGTCGTTGTGGGACTAGGGTTTGATTTTTTCTGGGTGTGCGGCGGCTTAAGCGGGCACGTGATGTGTGGCTGGTGCTGCTGGGGGGAAGATGTGGATGGTGGGCGGTGTAGGTCTGGGCGGTGTAAGTAGGCCTGGGTGCCTGGACTGTCTGACTGACAGGGCGGCGCCGGCGCCGGCGCCGGCGCTGCGGACGGAGGGCGGCGTCATCCTCTTGACTTGGCGGCCAGTCCAGTCCAGTCTCCAAAAGCTATCCTCATCTAGACCAAGTCAACTACAGCCCGTGTGTGTGTATGTTGATGAGACACTTGGTTTCCGCAGGCCGGACGGAGGTTCTCTGACTATTCACGACTTACCACTTTACTGGTTTTACTTACTTCTTGATTCACATACCCCGTTAATCCACCAACCTCGCTATATTTATGGCTACATCAACCGGTACCGGCTGGGCACAGCTGCGGCAACAGGCCCGATCACTGGAGACTCAGGTACAGTACCTCCCCTCTCACTTTGAAATCTACATATTTCCGTCATCACAACGTATTCTAACAAGCTGAAAAAATCAGACCGAAGCCCTCTTCCACACCTACTCGCAATATGCCGCCCTAACCAAACCACCACCCACCCCGTCCGAAGAAGAACTCCGCACCGGATCCCAACTGGAGGAGATCCTCGATCGAGTGCGCAAACCCACCTCCCCCCATCTTCTCCCCCTCCCCCCTCTCCTCCCACTAACTTTTCCGAAAAGCGAGAAACAACAATAACCCACCTCTCGCGCCTCCTCGACAGCGAAGCCACCCTGACCGCCTCCGCCCTGAAGCAGAACAACCTCGCCCGCCACCGCGAGATTCTCGCCGACCACCGCCGCGAGTTCGCCCGCATCACCGCCGCCATCGCCGAGACCCGCGACCGCGCCAACTTGTTGAACCATGTCCGCCACGACATCGACGCCTTCCGCTCCCAGAACCAGTCCGAGGCCGACTACATGCTCGAGGAGCGGGGCCGCATCGACGAGAGCCACAATATGATCGACGGCGTGCTGAGCCAGGCGTACGCCATCAATGAGAACTTCGGGTTGCAGCGCGAGACGTTGGCGAGCATTAATCGGCGGATTGTCGGCGCGGCGGGCGCCGTGCCCGGCATGAATGCGTTGATTGGCAAGATCGGGAATAAGCGAAGGAGGGATGCGGTGGTTTTGGGGGCGTTTGTGGGGGTGTGTTTTCTGGTGGTTTTTTTCTTGAGATGAGATTATATCGCATCAGATGGTCTGGGAGGAGGGATGAACTGGGGATATGGGTATACTGGGCCGGGAATTTGGGGAGATTGGTGGTGGTGATGGGCTGAGTGTGAGTTTTGCTTGATTTGACGGTATGAGAAGGCGTTTGGGAATTTTTCTTGTCTTGCTATACAGAGTATACTAATAGGAGAGGGGAGATAGTTTGTATCTCCCTCTTCGGTGTTGGGAGAGGTGTCCCGATATTTTTGCGTGCTAGGATATACCTAGTATCTATCTTACAGTGCGGCATTCATCGTACCAAGCCCCCAGCCAATGCTACTTGATATGTACATACACATACAACCGCCATATGTTCGGCTATCATGACTGCCCCAAATCAAGGCATCACAACCCTAGCCTTCTTCACCTGCTCGCCCTTCTGCTCGCTGGCCCACTCCGCCGCCGGCGTCTCACTCTCCACACTCACGCGGCGCTCCTGCGCCAGCTTCCGGACGCCGTTGTTCAGCGCCTCCTTCTCCTCCGGCTCGGCGTTGCCACTGCCCGCCCACCGGATGCGGCAGTTCTCGTCCAGCAGGTAGACATAACCGACCTTGGAGTTCATCATGCCGATCGTCTCGCGCAGCCGCTCGTCCACACCCTTGGTCACCAGGAAGTACTTGTCGTGCTGCGCGCTGGGCAGGTTCCGGCGCATCGACCACATGAACATCTTGACGATCGCCCCCTTGAGTGGGTTCTGCTCGAGGTTGATGTCGACCTTCTGCACGATGTTCTTGTCGTGGGACCCCTCCACTGCTGCCTGGAACGCCTCGTACAAACCCGGGTTCTTCTCCTGGTGCGTGAACGTCGACGTCTGGTTCTCGGCCCACAGGCTCGAGAAGATGTTGACCACAGTGATACGGCCCCGGAAGAGCGGGGTCGTGTCGCGCGGCTGCCGCTTCGAGGCCAGCGTGATGCCCCGCATGTTGGGGAAGTACAGCGCCTTGTCGCGTTTGAAGAGCCGCGTGTTCGCCACGAAGCTCTTGCCTTCGTGGTGGCGCATGTTGTTCCATTCGCGGAAGTACGGCTTGGCTACTTGGTGGGCTCTGTGATGGTGGGGGTTTGTGGTTAGTTATGTCTTTTCTGTGTTCTGCGTCCTTCTTGTTGTAAAGAGGAGGTGGGGGTCGGGGGCGGGGGGGAAGGTTAAGTGGTAATGGGGGGTTTTTTCTTTGCGGGGGAAGAGGAATGTGTATCGAGATGGATCCTGCGACGATGAGGTATATGTCCCCGGGGAAAGGCGACGTACAGTTGTTTCCGTCTTTCCAAGTGTCTCTCATAGTTGACAAAGTCATCTCGTCGTTGCCCGAATGATCGCTCGTCGACACCGGTGTTTTGTCCCTCACTTGGAGGCACGGGCGATCCGATGGGTCGGTCTAGAGGCGGAGGCACGAAGTCTTGGCCGGGTGTTGGAGTTGGAATCTTGGAGGCTGTTGGTGAGTAGACGGGCTTCGATGGGGCTTTGGTTGAAGCTGGCGTGGGGGAGGGTTTGCTGCTGCTGCTGTTGCTGCTGCTGGCATAGTACCGCAGCGCAGGTTTGTGAAGGTACGCAGTCGCCTTGCGCAATTGACAGCTGAGACAGCGACCATTTTGCAAGTCTGAAAGAGACGACAGCAGCCTATTAGGCTTCCACATTGTGATGTTTCTTGGGTGGAATGGATGAGAAAAAGACAGTGCGGCAATGCTTGTTGTAAGTCGTTGCTTGCTGGAGTACTGCAGTTACAAAACTGCCGGTCCGCACTACGGAGACTCGGTCGGAATGAATGGGGCCCACTCCGAAGCCCTTCCCCGACTTTAATTGAATTCCACAGGTCCCGTGACTTGGTGGCATTTTCGTGGTTCGGGTTACGCGTGACTGTCTTCGCCGGTCGTGTCATCCCTCGGTCATTCCTCTTCGGTCTCGGACTGAATTTATGTGGATGTGAGAGTGAGTGTGCTTTTTCTAAGGGACTCGTTGTCGCCTGCTAGGCCGCAGTCACGCAGAATACTATTACTCATGGCTCGACGGTCTCTGGCTCTGGGCTTCGGGACCTCAGCCACCATACCATGGCGTCCGCGGATGCGGCCAAAAAGGCCTTCTTTGAGGGCTTGGAGCGGCTGGATTCTTTGTCCGAGGACGAGGAGGATCGAATGACTCTGAAATATCATTCAAAGATCAAGAAAGTAAAAAAAGATGTGGGACCTGCTGTAACGAAAATTAGGTCTACGGTCACGAAAGCTGAAGTCCGAGTGATTGCACCTTCCGCTACTGAACTTGCTGCTGCTGCAAGATCAGATGAGACTCTCTCAGAAGTGACTGTGCTGAGCACCTCAAGGACAGCGGGAGAGATGCCTCGGAATAAGAAAGCTGTGCCTGTCTCTGGCAAGGGAAAACGACAATGCTCGTCCAGGACCGTTCCGGAAGAGCAGCAGATCTTCAAAGGCCTTGTCTTCTGTAGGTCTCCCTTCACTTTCGGGTTCTCGTCTTAAGACCTCGAGCTTACTTCGTTTGTATCTCAGTCTTCTTTCCGAACAACAGTGCCTCAGCCCTTCGACGCCTGCGTATCCAGCGAGCGCAGGATTACGGTGCCTCTGCTGCAGTAGCCTGGGGTGACCATGTCACTCATGTTATAGTGGATAGGGGGCTCACCTTTCACGACGTCATAAAGCATATACATGTCGAATCTCTTCCAGTAGGTGAAGTAGACAACAAACCTGATCGAATCATTCTCGATTGACACGGAGACAGTCCACAGTCGCGCTCGTCGACGAAAGCTACCCTTCTGAGTGCGTCAAGTTTCGCACGGTATTGAACACAGCCCAGGTTCGGTTCCGCGTCAGCGGTACACCTGTCCCTGCAGCAGAGAAAGGCTCTTCGCCTGTGATCGAACCTTCTGATGGTGAATCCTTGTCCATCAAACCGAGCCGGCGAGAGCAGCAGCAGCAACACGAAACACAATCGCATACCGAGCTGCACAGTCAGGCTACTGGAGGACAAATTACTGGGCGGCAGGCTACCGAACAACAAACCTCTGAGCTATATACCGCGGAGCAGTTGGTCGAGTGCTCGAACAACCTACATACTGTTTCCGAACCTGTTCGAGAGCGGGATGCCTTGGATGATCTCATCGAAGAAGCAAAGGCTGTAAAAGATCTGGTAAGGGCCAACAGAAGATGCCTGCCTGGATTCTCAATCTAATCGAGAGTAGCCGTTAGACTCTGAGGATGAGCAAAGTGCGGCTGAAACATCTGATCCCGAGGCGTCTGACTCGAGCGAATCACAGCCGAAGAAGAGGAAGATGAGCGCACGTAGGAGTGAGGCGCAATCTGACTGGCAGCAGAATTTTGTATGCATGCAGAAGCATGATTCAAAGGCCAATGCTGAAAATGCAAACAATCGGACCATTGCCGTCCTACAGCAAATGCTGGACTACTATGATCGATCAGGTGACCAATGGCGCACGCTCGCCTATCGCAAGGCGATCAGTGCCCTTCGGAAACAACCGAAGAAAATTGCCACTAGATCCCAGGCTTTGTCACTGCCAGGGATTGGCACACGTCTGGCAGACAAGATCGAAGAGATTGTGTTCACAAATCGCCTGCGTCGGTTGGAAAACGCCAACAGCACTCCTGAAGATCGGATCCTCCAGGAGTTTCTAGCCGTCTATGGGGCTGGCGTCTCCCAAGCCTCGAGATGGCTTGCTCAAGGCTACCGGTCGCTGGAAGACCTAAAAACCAAAGCGCCCCTTACGCAGAATCAACGGGTGGGCGTGGAGCATTATCATGACTTCGCCCAGCGTATTCCACGGAACGAGGTTGAAGTGCATGGGGAGATCGTGCGGGAGGCAGTGCGAAAGGCTGATCCAGAGATGCAGGTCATTATTGGGGGTTCCTACCGACGTGGTGCGTCCACTTCAGGCGACATCGACCTGATCATCACCAAGCCCTCCGCTACGATAGAGCAGATTCGGACCATCATGATTGAAACCGTCGTCCCGGGACTCTTCCAGGCAGGCTTCCTACAGACCAGCCTGGCTGCCACCTCCCGCGGCGATGGATCCAAATGGCACGGGGCCTCGAAGCTTCCTAACGATCGGCTCTGGCGACGGATCGACCTGCTTTTCGTGCCCGGATCTGAGATCGGGGCAGCTTTGATTTACTTCACTGGCAACGACATCTTCAACAGGAGCATGAGACTCCTGGCCAGCAAGAAGGGCATGCGGTTGAACCAACGAGGGCTTTACGCCGACGTGCTACGCGGACCTCAGCGAGTCAAATTGACCACAGGCCGGCTGGTCGAAGGACGCGATGAGCGGCGAATCTTCGAGATTTTGGGAGTCCCTTGGCGGCCTCCCGAGCATCGCATCTGCTGAAGTGCCCAAAATATCTTTCTTTTTTTTTTTGGTTTTGGTTTGGTTTGCCTCAAGAGACACGTAGGGACAAGACGGGAGCCGGGGTGACAGATAACATTGGAGCTGCCAGTGGGGATCCATTGGTGATGCATTTGCTTTTTTGTCATCCCAGACCGACTTCTCTCCGTGCGTCAGATCTTTTCGCTGTATGTGCTTGACATACATACACGGCAACAGCAGCGAGGAGGCCCGAAATTCCCGCAGTGGATATGAAAGTGGACGGCCGGGATGGAAGGAGCCTGAGAGGGGTTTCTTTTTGGGAAACCTTTTTGTCTTTCTTTTTGTTCTTTTGGCATTGGTTTGTATTTATGTTGAACTTGAGATTGCCACTAGTAATAATGATTCCACTATGTGTATATTCCTGGTTGTGTAGTTACATATAGTAATTTTATACTTTGTTGTCCATCCAAAGTTTGATTCGGAGCCGAGACCGAACAAAAGGCGGTCACCGAAATTCCCTAGAATCCATAGTTGAGAGTGAGGAGAGCAGCCACCGAGTACGGAGAGAGAAGCGGAGAGAGGAAAGAAGGCAGTCAGTTAGGGAGTGAGGAGAGGTTGTGTTTTGGGTGTGGGAGGTGGACCAGCCAATTAGCCAGCAATGGTCGCACAGAAAGAAAAGGGTTTCTTAGCGAAGTGGTTGATGACGAACAGACCCAAGAGGAGCGGCTTCAGGTTTCTTTTTTTCCTTTCATCACCAAATCTATCGAGGATCAAGATTCCAGCTTGGATCTACGGAGTACTTCTGAATCTGATTCCTCGCAGTGTGCATTGCCATTCACCGAGTTCATCACCGCCTTTCATGCGGTGAAGCGCATCCCAACCGAAACCCGACCAACCCGTGACTTTGGAGGGCGGCCAGTGACAGACCGCCCGTGTAAAAGTCGGTGTTTTGCCGCGACTCGTAACATTATTCCCTTTCATCCCACTCCCTTCTCTTCTCCCCTACACCATTCCTCCCCTTCATTGTCATCTGCTGCCCCTCTGCAATTGCTGTCACTGCATCGCGACTGCTCCGCGCCTCTGTAGCGACTACTTCCATCTCTTTTGACCCGCTGAAACCTGATTTCGAGCGGTCAAGAGCCGGTGGTGGGTTCTGCCGGTCGGGATTGTGGCCAACTGCTATTTTGCCATCCGCTCGCCTTCTCCCACCCCTCGTCCGCTTTCCCCTGTGTGCGTCACTTTGGCTCTGTCCCCATTTACTGCCGGTCTTTCACAAATCTATTCAAGGAAATTCAAAAATAACGGTGATTAACCGCCCCCCCCTCCCACGAAAACAGGGTCTGTGACTCGAGATTGTACTCGACACCTTGGACCCTCGGATTCACAATCCTGGTGTCTCTTCTGCCCTCCCACGCCTTTCGCAATGGGCAGAAAACCGAATCAGTTGATCCTCGAGTTCTTCATTCGCGGCCAGAAGCTCGAGGACGCCAGCAATCGCTACCAACACACCTGCAAAGCTTGCGGCGAGAAATTTCCCAAAGGTCGCATCGACAGCTTGACCAACCATCTCGTCAAGAAGTGTCAAGCCATTCCCTTGCGCGATCGTCAACGCGTCTTGTTGCGACTACACGAACTTCCCGATCTTGCCGACGGTGACCAAAACAAAGACGGAACGGGACCGAACAAAGGCAAGTCCGGGGATCTGCCCTTTGCAGCAGCTCGTCAGAACTTTGACGGGCTCAACGTGTTGGCCGAGGCCTCGAGACAGGTGGGCGCCTCCGACTCAACCAAACGGGGCGGGCCCGCGTACACTCAGTCGTTGACGGTTGGAGGCAAGACGGTCGTCGTGGATCCTGCCCTCGAGGCCGAAGGCTTCCAGGGCAATCCGACTCAGCCAGAGACAGTGGAGGAGGATGCGAAGCCGCCTGGTAAGCACTTTGTTTTGTTCTTAATCTCTAGTCTTTGCGATTTTCATGTGTGCATCATCGAATTCAGTAACACTTCTGCTGGGCTCTCATTCACTAATACTGTCTTCGCCGCACAGGGACCCCTCAACAAGCTGCCTCTAACGCCTCGTCTCTACCTTCCCTCCCTGGTAGCTCCCCAGCCGAACCACAACCATCCGCATCTCCTGCAATGGCGGAAGCGTCGCTTGCAACTGACTCGGCTGCCAACGCGCGCCAGTCACAATTATCCATGATCGCCGCTTCAGCGAGTGAGATGGTCCCACACGGGCTACCGATGGACCAGGACTCCAACGTCGGACTCGGTGATGGACTTGCTAAGATGAGTCCCCCATGGAACCAGCAGCTATCCACCCAGGAACAGCTCCTTTTCGACAGCCTTCATGAACACGATCCTACCTTGACTGCTGCTACCCAGCGCGCCGCATCCTTTCCGCGTCCGATTGCGATGAACCCGAACTCGCAGGCTAAAGGTTTTGTGAACGAGTTTGGGAACTCAACTAAGCCTACCAAACCTAAAGTGCGCGGTCGGTTTTCCGCTGCACGACGCCGAGAGGTTCAGGAGGTCAGAAAGCGGGGTGCTTGTATTCGCTGTCGTATGCTGAAGAAGCCGGTATGTGCTGATCTTTCTGTATCGACCAGCGTGCGGCTAACAAATATATGCCTAGTGCTCCGGAGACAGTCCTTGCACCACGTGTGCCAGCGTTGAGAGCGCTCGCCTGTGGAAGCACCCATGCATCCGTACTCGAATTGCGGAGGAATTCGAGCTTTACAACGCAAGTATGTTTTTTTGTGATTCCGTTCATGCCTGGATTGGAGCTAACTGTCCAAGACTTACACGCTACGCTGGCCTATCACGATGTGAGCAGCATCCGCAACCAGGTCAAGTTCGAACATTACGCTGGTCGTATTGAGGTTACTCACTTTGAGGAGAGCTTGGTCTATGTCACATTTAGCGGACTACAGGGTCACAAGCCTTCTGCCTCGACGCTTGATCCCCAGCTACAGGGCCTGGGCGACGAGCCACAATTCCAGGGACCTCTTTCTGAGCTCTATTTGCTGGATAGCGATACCGATGATTTGCCGGGAAAGATTGAGATGTACATCAAGAAAACCGCACCATTCTTCTATGAGCGTGAGACTTCAGAGTTCATGCGGCCCACTTTGATGCTTGCGGCAGAGCTAAGTCAGCAGAAGAAGGTAAATACCGCCCATCACTGGATCCCCGAGCTGCGCCGCTAACAGGTGTAGGATCTGTTGTTGGAACGTGTGTTGGAATTGTGGATCGCCACTCACATTCTGGTGGATTCGGAACTGCAGTGGAAGACGTACTGCAACCCAACTCTTCCGCCTACCTCGGTGCACTCTCTCGCACAGCCCTCGGACGACGGTCGTACACCTATCGACGAGGTGACCAACACTGAGTCGTATGCTCTGCTGTGCAGCCAGTTGCGTGCCGCGACCGAGAAACGTGCGTCTCAGCTGAGCAAGTCGGTGATGAACGATTTGGAGCGACGACTGCTGCAGCGCCAGCAGAGTGGCTGGTTTGAGACCTTCCTGGTAGCGATCATCTTGTTGAACTGTGTTGAGAGGACTTGCTGGCTGTTCCGCTCATGGGAAGATGAAAACTTCGCTCAGCGAGTAAGTTGTGCATCATCTGAGATGTGCTCCGGCATTCTAATGTTTCAGCAGTGGCCTCTGGATAAGCGCCCTCCCTACTATGCCAGCCAGGGCGATCGATTCTCGGATATCTTACATATGCTGTTGAAGATGCGCAGCTTACCGCCCAAGGCCACTCCGCGCCCCGACACCGGAATCCTCAAGGCGGTGGACGGCAGCGACGAGAACGCCGCGCGCTGGTTCGACTCCATCAAGATTACCTGTAAGAACTTTTTTCTTTCCATTGTTCACAAACACATCCTCATGACACCATTAGCTCTTTTCCTCGAACAACGTCAAGCCACCGTCTTCGACCCGGCCGACTCTCGTTCCCTCGACCTGCGCTACGGCGCCAAACTCCTCCCTCCATCCAACGTCTACACCTAATTTCCCCTCGTCTAGTCTAGTCTATCTTACCTACCTACCTACCTACCCCCCTAGCTAGCTAGTTGAAACAATCGTGTGCCATCACCATCACAATTATCATGTGAAAGAGAAGTAGGAAGAATGACGCGCAAACCAAGCAGACCCCAGAAGGAAAACCTGCGGAACGACCCTGATGATGAAGAAATCTGAACCGAATCCTACCTTTGTTTTTTATGTTCTTGCTACTACTACTCTACCATACATTAAGCGGGTTTACTTTCTTTCTTTCTTTCTCGATCATTGCTTTCTATCTCATTCCGGTGTTCCATTTGTGTGTGTGTGTGTGTGTGTGTGTGTGTGTGTGTGTGTGTGTGTGTGTGTGTGTGTGTGTGTGTCAGAGTCAGGTAATCTGGCTGAATTGTTTTCTCCGTCATTGTTATCTCCAGTAAAATGGTTTTTCTGTATCCGACGGAATCAAGGAGAATTGTTATGTTACTACTAGGGAGGAGTCTTGAGTCTTGAGTCTTTGTCGGGAGGTTCATGGAAAGGGTATGGTTGGGCTTTAGTGTGTCTCTTTAGTCTTTCCTTTCCTGTCTGATGAGAATTTTGCTCGGGCGAAGGTGTGGAAGGGAGGGTTTGTTAATGGATTGGAATACCAAAATCAATCATGATTTTTTCATTTTATTGCGGGGTTCTCTCTAGCCTCTGGTTTCTTTTGTTGTTTTGTTTCTTGTTGTCATAGAGAATGATTATATATACCAGTGTGGGTGAGGTATATGGGAGAGGTGTATGGGATGTGTGTCGCTTCGCAATTTACATCATAATATTCCATACAACTTGACAATGGGTCGGGAATGTCGTATAGCTTTTTATCCTTTCACTCCTTCGTATCGTCATCTGTGCATTGACCTTCGCCTGTTGGATACAGCAGGGACGGCTGGGTAATCGAGGGAAATTTTGGGGATCTTTTTTTTGGTTTTGAGGAACGGGGGTGACGGTGCTGCTGTTGTTCTGGACGAGGAGGAGCTAGAGCTGTATCTGGATTTGCGCAGCTCCGTCTTTCCAATTTCCCATTCCCATGCCTCCCCCTCCAGGGGGAGTCATCGCCCGTCCATGGGTCCCAGGTGCTTGGTATTATATCGAATCCAAAGAGAGGTTGGGAGGCGATGTTATGCCGGACTAGCCTGGGAGTTTCTAGACTCCTTCCTTTTTCACCGACTTGCCTCTAAAAGGCCCCAAGAGTTGCGCATGATCACAGCCCAGCCCTGTAAGCCCCATGTCATGTCCGAATCTAACCCGGGCCTCCTGGCAGGGACAGTGTTTGTGTCGCTGGATCGAGTGGAATTATCAGGTAGTTCCAGCGACTGAAGGTTTGTAAGCTTGAGATCCAGAACTGAACTGTTAGGTGGGGCGATTTCCTGCCCCTGGGTTTTATCGAAGTTGAGTTCCGAGGCCTGTGTATGTACCGCGCTTGGAGAAGGAGTTGGCTCTGGCGCTGTTCATCTTTTTTAGTTGTTTGTTTCTTTGGTTTGGAGGTCGTGTAGGCCGTTGTATTGCCGCTGGATCGAGCAGGGTTCCTTGCGTGTGAGTTCGGCGCGAAATGCGGTTGAAATAGCTCTTGGTTCGTTTGATGGGTATTGTATGGTTGGGTTATTTTTTGAGCTTCATATGGGGCGAGGAGCTTGGTGTGATCCAGGGTTATTTGTTGAAAAGTCTGTTGTCTTGATGGTTTCTGGGATTGGATGTATGGTTGCTTTGAAAGAGGCAGGGGGAAGAGGGAAGGTGTTTGATGCTGATCTTGTTCCTCATGGAGGTTGCGGTTCGTGCGGTATGCTTTTGGGATGATTAGGCGACTTTGGTGGTTGTATCAGACGAGTTGGTGATCAAGCGTTAGATAGGCCTGCCGAGAGAATCTGTACCCACCCAATCGAGTATACCCCCTACAGATGACTGAAGTCCGATAATAAACACCGATACACCATTCGCCCCCTACTCTCGCAAGGGAATAAGCGAGAAAACCGGACGTTCAATGACCTCGCCATCAGGGTCATGGTGGCGCCGGGTCCGAAGATACCTCGGACAAATCCGGATATCGATGTTCGTGACGGCGGGGTGGAAGCGGACTCTGTGTTTCTTTGTCCGTGTTGATGCCGATGAAGAATGTGAGCAAGCGGCGTGCATGGATCGGGGGCCCGAGATCTGGGGATTGTGTTGACAGTGGTTGTAGATCGGAGAAGAGATGTCGTTCACGAAGAGGTTCATCCAGCTGTTGAAGCGGGTGAGTCTGTCGAGCTCGAGGGAGGACAGGGCCTCGAGATTTACACTGGGAGGGGAAGAATCCTCTTCCAGCATTGGAAGACGAGTGCCGCGTTTTGAAGAGTGATGGGGCTTAGAGAGACAGGATTGCAGGGTATTGATGATGGTGCTGTTCGAGGCAGGGGTTGCGGGTTCGTTGGGTCTCTTTCCAGGCGAAATTGCAATATTGAAATGAGGAGGCGCTGGGGTAGATTGGGTGGGTGTGCGAGGGAGTCTGAGGTGAGATACGGAGGTTTGAGCGTTCTTGTTAGGGCCAATGGCTCTGGAAATAATAGTGGTGTGTTCCTCGTTTGTAGCATGTTGCTGCTGATCGATGTGTCTTTTCAGTTCTTCGATTACTTCGTCGAAGAGGGAGGCGGGCTCATGTGTGAGGTTGTTGGGGAGAGAAGTGTCGTCGATTTCTGGGTCTGTGGACCAGACCTCCGAGAGCTTCTCGTCGATGGTCCCGGTCAGGAAGTCATTTGTGTCGATTGTGGAAACGCTGGAAGCAGGGCTAGGGCAGGAGGTTGTCGGACTGTATGAGAGGAGATTGAGGTCGGTGTCATCGTCAAGATCTGGGTATGGCTCTGAGAGGTACTCGTCAAGAAGAAGGTCTAGAGCACAGCTTGGCTGAGAGTCGAACGAGTTGAAGTTAGAGTCAGCCGCTGGCTTGCAATCATCAACCAATTTTGAAGATGCGGTCGAGAATGCAGTCTCAGATGTATGAGAGGGCGGAAAGTCGGGTGAGTACGAGGGATAGGAGCGGTAGTCATCACGTATATCATCCAGAGAGTCCCAGTCAGAATATTCAAGGCTGGAGACAAGGCCAAGAGGAAAGAGAGTATCGTCTGGTGTATCAAACTCGAAGGGAGCCAGCTCCTCCTCTTTGATGGATTCGGCCTTGTTGATGACGAAAGTGGAAGGCCAATGGTCCATACTCTCGTCTGCTAAGGCATTGGAGGCCCTAAGCGAGGCAACATATTCACGAAGCTCATCAAGCGAAGTCCCAGTCTCGCATTTGACGTCAGTCAGTCTCTCCTCCTCCACTTTTTTTTGTTCTTCCTTTTCCTCTTCTTCCTCCTCTTCCTCTTCCATCTTCTCGTCTATCGAGTGAACCCCTACATCAACATCCCGCTCAGCCCAGTTCCGAATACCCCGGACAAAAGGCACCAAAACCCACTGAAAACAGAGTATCAAACCCCAAACAGTCTTCCTGACGCCAAAAGATCCATCCGCAGGAGAGTTTGGGGTCGCATCCGCGCCAACATCTTCATCTTCAACTTCATCTTCATCACGACCATAATCGCCATACCCGGGCACATCGCCATAAACGCCATCCCACACATGTGGAAACGGAGTATAAGGCCACAGCACGGCCTCCAAACTACCTACAGTGGATGTCTCGACGACGACCGTGTTGTTTGTTTCGAAGTGTACGTTATGGTGAATATGACTGGCTAGATAACTGCCGCTGCAAGGAGCCCTAGTAGTTGTCTTTGGGTTCTCTGGGGTGTTTCGAATGAGGGTATGTGTACCCGGATGCTAGGAGGATGCACGCGCGCATTTTGTTGGTGATGACGCCTGGGAGGTCTAGGGTGGTGAATAGCATGATGCTTGTGAGGGGGAGGAGCAGGTCGATGTTCGGTGGAGAGAGAGATGGGCTAGAGGATGCGAGTTGGAATCCGTCGGTGATGTTGTTGTTGTATGACATCTTGGGTTTCGGTGTTAGCTTTTGCAGGAGATGTATGTGTGTGGTTAGTGGTACGGTGTGGGGTTGAGATGCTGGAGGAGGGAAGGGGGGTTACTTTGTAGATGGAGAATTGAGATATTGGATGATGAGGTTTTGGCCAGATGGCAGGCAGGTACTGTTGGTTGTTGTTTGAGGATAAGCTCGGTCGAGCTCTTGATGAGGGGGTAGGATGACATGAAGAGGTTTACCGGTTTATAGTGTTTGTAGCAGGATACTTACTTTGTATGGAAGCAGGTTAAAGGCTGAGTCTGTTGGAGTCCAGGGGAACGAGAAATGAGGGAGAGGAAGAAAAGCTCGAGAAGCGAATTTCGTGAGATGATATAGCCATGGTAGGCATGAGCCAGTGAATACAATTCCACGAGATTTGGCGATTTATGTTAGTATGACCATGATCGTTATCCTCATTCACCAGAAGGTCGAGGCGGTGGATGATTGTAGACAGCCATTGAATGGTCCGAGACAGGCAGGACCACTCCTGCTTACATCGTATCTCGAGCGCTCCTCTGGTTGGAACGTACAGCAAGGGTCAGAGTCAAATAGAAACCTCTCTTCAATCGATATACTAGACACATGGACAACCAGCCCGAATGGAGAAACAGAACCATGTACTGTACATAAAAACAGACATTGCAGACCAGCCGACTCACAATCCAAAAGCGCATTGGACCCTAGGGCCTGAATTCCAAGACAAGCAGGGTATATGATTCAGAGTAGAAATCGGTCACAATCTCCACCATCACTTAAGACAAGATAAAGTACTACAAATGCCGACTCATCGACCCAGACGCAAAGCAAGTGACCACCGACCAACTCGATCAACAAGTAGACGAGCAACAGAGCCAACTATCATACCATCAAATAATACACATATTAGTATAGCATAACACATAGACGCCTATGGAAAAAAAATAATTATCATCAACAGCAGCAGCAGCAACCACCTCCCGCATTCCAACCTACAATGTCGACCCCATCGAATCGGCATGCTGCGCCGACGCCGTCTGCTCCAACACAACAGCATAATATTTCCCTTCCTCCGAGGTATCATGATACGGCCCCGCAGCCACAATAGCCCTAATCTCTAAGGTCAGTGGGACCCCATACCCAGACCAAGAGCATACGTAGAATAAGAGCCTCAAAAGTTGCCGGGGGGGGCACTCACCATCCCTTATACTTAGGCTGGTTGAAAATCTCCGTAAACGCCTTCAGAATCCGCAGCGGCAATTCCAGAATGGAGGGTAGGTCCGGTCCATCACCGCAGATGGGGAGGCCCAGTTTGTTCACGGGCAAGTACACGACCTCGGCTGTTTGGGGGTGGCGCGCCTCTTGGAAGATGAGGAGGCGGCGGGATGGGGGTGGTGGCGGAGACATGGTTATGCGATAAGATAGGTTTCCTCTTTCCAGTAGACTGAAGCAAAGATCTCTCGTGAGGGTGAGAGTCTCGCCCTCGAGAGTATGGAGTAGACGGGTTTCTTGGCGGGGGACCCTTGTATCGCGGTCTCACAAGCTCGACACAAGAAAAAAGTTGCTCCGTCTTGCGCTTGCTGCATTCGCCCCTCGTTGAGATAGAAATTGATGCGCACGAGCAATTGAACGCTTCAACTCCCTATATAGAGAAGTAATGTAGTCAGGCCCTCGTCGAGTCAAGTCTGCTTGCGTTGCTCCACTTAGATTTTGTAAATATCTGTGGCTGAATGTCAGACGGGTTTATGCGATTCGAGATGCGGGGCAAAGGAGGCATCAGAAATTGAGGAGAATTGACACCAACCAGCACACAGAGTCCAGCTCAGTACCCGATTACTCAGTGGATGTCCAGGACTCGGAGAGTAATTCCAATGGGCTGATGATGACAATGGCAGTGGCCCTCATTGCCATAATGGGATTATTTACTTTCAGAGTTGAATGTTGAATGTGGCTGCTGCGCGTGGCGCGTCGGAGATCAAAGCATTGCGAAAGCACGTGCACGGATGGGGGTGGGGTCAACGGCACTTTGTCTACAACGCATGTCACCCTATCTCACTACCTGTTTGCTTTTCACCAACCAATACCTGCAACTAAAGTATACAAGAACAGAATCTGCACTGGCTAAATCGAATATCGAATATCAGGGTATCATATCCAAGGCTTCCACCTGGATTGCTTTAACAGCAAAACGCAAAAAAAAAAAATAGCACTGTCCACCAAGCCCCCATAAGTATTCCAGAATTGTTTTATTTACTCCTTTGTACCTATATTTAGGTGTCCAATTCTCCGTCCAGCACTCGTCGAGCGGCGTCTAGTCGTCGTCTCAACAGCCGCACCTGCTTCGGGTCCGGCTGCGCAGAGGTTGTAATCGTCTGAAGCTCCGTACAAACATCCCCCAAGCTTTGGAATAACTGTTCCAAAAGTTTCGTATCATCGTCATTCAGCCCCATATTGCCATTGGCTGATGCACTTGGATGGGCGCTGGACGCTGCGCGCACTGTTGACACAAGCGATGACGCAAGGGACGTCGGGGTCGCAGCTCCTGTCATTGCCGAGTCGGATCGTGGTGAGACTGTGGGGGCCTTGAGAGACAATGCGCTGTTTACTCGTCGACTGGGCTGTCGGCGAAGAGTGCGAGCGTTTCCTCCGGTTTCCAAATCAGCTCCCTTCGAGCTGTCGGTGCCAGGCGTATGGCGACCTTTTAATTCTAGACAAGAAATTAGCACAATCCCGAGCTATAACACAAGCACAGGAACCTACCATCGTTGAACTTCCGATCCCAATAGAGAACACTCTCCAGTCCATCGTGATTGCCCTCAATAGCGGTCTCAAACGTCGCAACGGAGGAAAGTGATGTTGCACTGTTGGCCCGGGAGTGACGAACGGAGCGGTGGTCGGTTGGCCGCGTGGTTTCGACCGAACTGGTCGATACATTGCTCTCACGCCGCATGCGAGCTTGGCTATAATTGCCCAGGGCGCTATGCAGAATGAAGTGCTCATAGTCAAAAGCGTCCTCTCGCTCCTCATGAGGTTTATCCTGGAAACTCTGTGGTACGGGAGGGAAAGCCTCCAACGTATCATCCAAATTATCATCCACGGACTCCTGGTCGAGATCAGATGTCAAAAAGCCGCTCTCATCATAGTCACCCTCTTGCGCATCCTCATAAAGACTCTCGTTCACTGATTGCGCATCATCGAATTCGTAGGCATCATCTTCTTGATGATGTGTCCTCCCCGGGGATGAATGCTGTAAAGCTTGTCTCTGTGTTTCGGCCTGTCGAGTCTTCACATCAGGCTCGTATCTAGCGGAGCCAGTTTCGTCGCTAAACTGATTCTCTCCAGAGTGAGCCGGTGACTGACCCTGACCAGCGCTAGGCCTAAGATTGCCCTGGCGGCCTCTTAGTTCCAAAGCATTGGGGTACCATTGGTCAGCGGCATTCAAGGGACTCGGAGTCCGCAGGCTCTGCATACTACGACGGCGCAAATTATCCTCCTGGGTTTTGACTTTCAGACTGGAAATTTTGATGTGAAGGCCCTTCATCTGATTGTGCAGGTCGCGAACTTGCATTTGTGACTGGGAACGAGAAGGCGGGTCCTGTGCGGGATGGGCTCCGTTGGATCCCTCCGTGCTCGAGCTGAGGTTCTCAGTCTCCTCCTCGGTGGATATGCCTAAGCCCTTGGGTGACTCGGAGGATGCTCGCTCCTTCACCATTGTTGGTGAGCGGGCCAGCCTGTGCATGGACGAGATAGAAGCGCGGTGGGTCAAATACGACCGAGTGGGGTCATAACGGAAAGTCCGCTCATCACTCCTATACTTGGATGCACTGGTTGAGCCCAAGGCACTGAGCGACCGAGATAGACTGGTGTCGGATGTGGGAAGACCTGAGTGCGCCGCTGATGGTAATTTGGTCTCACTATAGACGCGCGAATGGCGGTTGCCTGTCGCATCCTGAGATGAGGTGTATGTCGTGCGCGGACGATGATTTGAGGCCCGACGGTCCGCGCGAGAAATCGACTGATACAGGCCGCCGACAGGTTGGCCCAGCCCCAGATGCGACTGCCCTACAGGCGGCGTTGGCGAAGTTGGAAGCGACGGAGACACTCGCACCGACGTGCGAGCCCGATTCAGGTTCCCTTCCATAAGCTACAGGAATTATTAGCGGTTGCTTTCATCATTAATCCACAATATTCTCTTCCTCGGACATACCGTCAGGCGCTTCTTCGCGTTCTCGAGGATCCTTTCTGCCTCGGTACTCAGTACGGCCGATGACAGCTCCACTCCCGGCCCATCCTCCTGTGTACTTTGTACTATGCGTGGAGTTCTATCATTGCCATCGACAGCTTCTATGGCACTGTCCTCCAGCTGGTGCTGGTGGTCCGTGGCGCCGCGATCGTTCTGGTAGCCTTTCGTCCCGTCCCAAGACGAGTCACTAGCAGCACTAGCTGTCGAGCTAGACGAGCCGCTCCACGTCCCCGTCTCCCTAGTTTCCAGCTCGCCCATCTCGCCTTGCGAAACGGGAGAACCTCCCGCCCGTCCTGTTGGCGACACGATTCGAGATGCACCAGAGAATCCAGAAAAGTGCGCATAAGATGACGAAGAGTCCTCCTCTCCGATATCCGACAGGCGACGAGCATCATAGCCCTCTTGCAGCCATGTATGCCGTAGATATAGGTTGCTCTGGGGGCGATTGCCATAAGACAGAGCAACACCCGGTTGCGCGATCCCTTGAGTCTGGTCCGTATTGTCATCGAGAGCGGGACGCCTGGCGTAGAACGCCTGCAGGTTGGATAGTGAAGGTAGGTTGAACGGAGGCGACGGGGTGGAGGATTCGCGCTCGTTGGAGTCAAACGGTAAGATCATGTCGGGGTTGGATAACGTCGGCGACGGAGGTATGGGCGGGAGATGTTGACGAGAAGGGTGGCCAGCGTCCTCCCCGGGGGACGAGGTGACCATCATGCTTTATGCCTGTCTGGCCGGCTGACTGTTCGGGTCAATTGAGGCAATCAATACTTTGGTACACGACAGGAACTATTCTGCTCAGGCCCAAGCCATCTGCAACCAGGGAAGAGGGAGGGGGGGGGGGGGGGGGGTGTGCGAGTTTGGTTGCACCTTCGACGGCCCGGGCGGTGCAGGTAAAGTTGGGAAATGAAGGGATCGGAGTGTACGTCCTGCGAAAGACTGTTGCTGGGGAGGGGAATTGAACGATGCAGTCGCAGATGAGATTTGAGACAAGGCAGGCGCAGGCTTCTCGGCGAATTAGATGAGCGCGGGGGATATTATATCACAAAAGCAAAACAAAAGGAGATGATTAGATATTAAGAATTAGAATTAGCCATAGTAGAAGGTATGAAGGGAGCACCAGCGACGCGACAAGGAACGAAAGAACGAAGCGAGCGGAGAGAGGAGCGAAAGAAGAAGGTGAGAAGGAGAAGAAAGAAAGACGATGGAGGCGAAGGAAGGAATTAATTAGATTAGCACACACGCCGGACTACTCGATGCTGACGGAGAGGGGGCATTGTTGGTTTCTACTTGTGTCCCTTTTTTTTTCTGGCCAGCCCGAATCAGGCAGGGATCCGTTGCCGTCACTTCCTGGAGATCTTCGGCCATTGATTAAAGGAAGACTGATAAGGAGGTCTTCGCACGGGATGTTGTTTCAATTGAGAGAAAGCAGCATTGTAAGGGAGGAGGAGGAAAGGTGTAGATGTTGATGTAGATATAGATGATGAAAGACAAGCGAGAGGTGATTGAGATCAAGAGAAGTAGAGTCGATCTGGGGAAAGAATACAAGGGGTGGGTGGGATATGCATAAACGCCCTCCCGTTTGCTAATCATCCTCGTTCTGGCATTCGGCGGGTAGCGACAGGATCGAGGGACTAAATTCATTCGATCAACAATCAACAACAGTCAACAGATCAGGTCATGGGAATGAGTGGTCCTTTTTTTTTCTGCCGATACGTAGTAGAATGGATACTAGAATAGAACTAGTGAGAGTCAAAGACTCAAAGTGAGCGCAATGGCAGGAGAGATGGAGATCGTCATTTAAAGATCAGCCAATGTTGATATCTGCACCTGCTGGTTCCATGGTTCCTCCCAGCAGCTTAAGCCCTTTTCGGCGGCAAAGAGACGTCCCTGCGTTCGGCTGCCACCACGCCATAAGTGTAAGGTATTCGAAACTACCACCCCTGAAAGGCTGAGACAGCTCTCTCCCTTCTCGATGCATCACTCAGTGCGTAGTCAACTATAACTAGGCCTGCTTTGCACTCTGACACTACTTGCCCTTTTGTACTAGTATCTCATTAGCAATTGACAATTTAGCCGGTCCTTGGAGCCAATGCTTATCCACGGAAGTCAAGTCATTTCTCATCTAGCAAGTGAGAACATACTGTTGTCTACGTGCTCTTCTAGCTCCGCTCAGGGGCTTTTCTCCGGCCTCACCCAGGAAAGACATACTCAATTCTACGGAGTCATCGCCTATAATGCATGCTACTAATGGACTGGTTGCCTCGGGACGAGTCGATTTGGAACCAAAGAAAAGATTATCGAGTACTTTTTGGCTTCATTGACCCCAATAAATTTTTCACAGATCCTGTACAGACGAAGAATAGATATCTCACGGTATGAAAAGAGAAAAAAAAATAGTATAGAAATAAGAATAGAACACCCAAGGGATATGCTTTTGCAGTCAACCGGCCGATATTACGAACATGTCATGCATCCTGAACTGGTAGAATTGGCTTCCCTGCGGACTCTACCGGATCTTCTCCAGAAGGATCTTAGCACCACTGCTGGCAGGGCTGCCCTTCTTGCCATCCTTGGTGGTCTCTGAGGAGGCCTTTTCCAAGGCCTTCTTGTTCTTCTTCAGCGTCTTCAGCAGGTCGGCCTTCTTCGCGAAATCGTCCGACTCCGCAAGAGCCACGACAACGAAGGTATTCGAACCGGTGGCCCACGACATGATCTCGGGCTGAATCTGCTCGTACAGCAGATCGTGGAAGTTCAGTGCTGGCTGGACCTTCTCAATCTTCTTCTCCGCGCTGTTGAACCGTCCACCCTGGACAAGCGACTTCAACAACCGGCCAACGAACGGGGCCTCCTTAGTGTCGGCGCGGGACTTGGCCGCCTCGGCGACAGCAGCAAGAGCGGCGCTCTTGTCGCCATCAGCGTCGAAGAGGACCTCAGAGATGAACTGACAGCCGAAGCTGGTCTCCAACAGGGAGTCCGCACGAGCTGCGATCAGCTCGAGAACAGTGGGGGAAGCGGCCTTGACCAGCTCCTGTCTGCGAACCTCGGGCTCCTTCTTCGACGTTTCTGCGCGGATCTCACGGATCTCCTTCAACAGCTCATTATCCTGCTCGGGCAGAAGCCACTTGGCACGATCGCCAGCGAATGGATACAAGATGGGGATACGAGCCGTCAGGTCAGTCACTTGCCAGAGCAACTCTTCGTTGCGAGCTTCAGCGTCCATTCCTTGGTTCAGAAGCTCGGGGAAAACGAGTTTCGAGGTAAGCTTGGTATCATCGATGACTTCGTAGGCTGCCAAGATGACCGTGTGTCCATTGAGGTCACCTGCCATCATCTTAATCGTGTCGCGATAGAAACGGGTCAGAAGCTTGCGGTCCTTGGCGTTCGAGTAGGCAAGAGCCCGAGACATGACTCGGGAGCCTGACTTGGTGAAAGCCAAGTTCTTGACAAGATCGCCCTCTTCATCGCCCTTCAGGAGTTCAACAAACTCATTGGCCTCCTCGCTGCCGACTTTCACGTTGAGATAGTACTGAAGCATAGCATCGTGTAGAATAGTGAAACCCGAGGTCTTCTTCTGGATCAGCTGGTTGATGAGCTCGAACAAAAAGTGCATGATAGGTCCTCTCTTCTCCGGGTTTTTGCTCAGGATCTCAGAGAGTTCCGCGGTTCCATCCTCCTGCTTGAAGATAACAAACTCGGGTCCGTACCACTCACGCAGAAGGTTGGCCCTCTGCTGCTTCGTCGCGACCGTCCGGTAGATATCGTCGAGAATCCAGGATCCCTCGGGGTGTCGGATGAGACGCTTAACGTGTCCGTAGAATTCGGGGATGATCAAGTCGCGAATCTCATTGTCGCCGTGAACAATCAGCTTGCCAACCAAGAACTTGGCATACCGGCTCTGAGCAAGCTCACGGTAGCTGCCCTTGAGCTCCGTTGCGATCTGTTTCCGTTGCTCGAGGTTGGCATATTTCAGAGCGGTCTGGATGACACGGACCGAGTCGTGCTTGAACACAAAGTCCTTGACGCGGCCGGTGATGATCTCAAACAGCTCCTTGATGAGCTTCTTCCGCTGCTCGAGGGGGACGTGGGATTTCCGACGCAGCTGCTCCCAGAGCTTCTTAGACCGGGCGATGATATCGGCGTTGGGCTTGGCGGCCTTGCGCTCTTGCTGCATCGCCTTCTGCTTAATATGCGATTCGCGGGATGTGGACTTGTCTGCACAGTTTAGGAGAGATCTGGTTAGTTCTCAATAGCTTCAGAGCAGTAACCACGGCCAGGGAATCCACCTACTTGGATCCGCCGCCTTCGCGGGCTTAGACTCCTTCTCCTCTTCGTCGTCCTCTTCGTCATCTTCCTCAATACCACCCATATCGACGTCCTCGTCCTCCTCAGCCTCCAGCTCATCCAATTCATCAATCTCTGAATCCTCAACATCATCCAAATCGAACTCGTCGTCGTCTTCGGCTTCGGATTCTTCCTTCAGCACCTTCTTGCCCTTCTTGCTGCTCAGGTCTTTCTTGTCCTTCTTTCCACCCTTGTCGCTACCCTTCTTATAGTCCGACTTTTTCGCCGACTTCACGGGCGCCGACTTGGAGCCGCCCTTCTTCGTCGACGCGGACACGGCAGTCTTGGTCTTCGTCCGCTTGCCATCGCGATCGTCGCCGGTATCGACGCGGCGCTTTACCCCGACCATGATGTGTGGAGATTTGAGGTTTCGTCAATGAATAAAAGAAGAGAAAAGAGAGGGTCAGGAATAGACTAATTTGGGCGGGATAAAAAAAAATGAAAGGTGATATGGGCCGCCCGCGGAGTCTAGGTTTTCCTGCTTGAGATTATCGCCGCGGCCGCCCGTCCTACTTTTTTTTCTTACTTTTTTTTGCCCGTACGAGGGCGGTCGACCGCTGTTTGTCTGGTTTGCAGGTTCACTGATAAGGCGGGTGTGCGGGATAAGGACGGAGCGGGCAACCATCCTTCCCCTCTCCCGTCTGTCCACATGGTTTTGTTCGATACGGAGGTCTGAAGAAATTCGTAGCATTGACGGAAATAGTCATTTAGTAGAAATATTGAAACTATGTACATGGATGATTATCTATTGAAGTAGCAGTAAAATGCCAGAATAGTGAAGTTTAGCAGCATGAGAAACACGCAATGCGCTCCGTTCGTTCGTCGACTCCGCAAGCAAGCGGGGCTGACAGACAGCAAAACTCAACGCGAGTCCCACGAATGGAGCGGTAAAGGAAGCAAACCTCGGTCACTGGCAAGTCAATCTTTCCAGTGGCCCCGAGTCATGGTATATTGGTTACTGAAATTCTGCGGTTTGTATCATGCATCATTGGTTTCGGATCCGGCACTCGCCGGTGGGGACTTAAAAGGGCCTAATTCAGAGCCCACGTTGCTCTGTCCTCGTTTGCGGCCAGGGATGTGAAACCCCAGAGACGAGGATTTGGTGGTGCTGGATGAGTGCGAATCGCTTGTCAGATCGCCGAACCGAGAGAAGATGCTCTTCCTCTTGGGCTTGACCTCGGTTTCGTCGTCAAGGCCCACGTCCTCGAATTGCTCCTCTTCCATCGATTCGGGCTGTCTGCAGAGGCCTGTGTGTAGTGTGGATGGCGGTGATGTCATTCGAGAGACGCGCGAGTCGAGCGATGTCCGCGAGGGTAGTGCGTCGGTGTAGCACACAGGGGAGCGGGCGGAGATGTCCTGGCATACAGGAGATTAGTCCTGAGATCTATCGTTGCGGGAAGTAAATGCTGATTGTGCGCAGACTCACGAAGGAACGACGGTAGGAGTCGAACGACTCCCGCGATATCGAGAATGGTTCGTTTTCATCGACAAGGTCGCGATGATGTGAGGATTTGGGTGAACCGGGATATTTGGGCCAGAAGCTCTGTTTCTCGGGCGGTGATGGCTGTATCGAGAGCAATCGAGTTAGCAATCATGTAGGATCAATGCGCGACATGGTCAATGGGACTGTAGAGTGAAGTACCGGAAGATAAGCGCCATTGGCATCGACGACTGTTGCAGATAATCAAGTTAGCGGGGATAAACCTCCCGAACCTCCATGCTCGTTCAATGATTTCATACCACTCAGTTTGTATTCCGGTGGCTCTTTCTCGAAGCTCTTCCTGAAACTCAGAGGTGTTGAGCGCTGGCCGTCAATTGATAACCGGCTGGTAGTGCTGGTATTGTCTAGTGTGGTGATCTCCCCGCCATTGGATGGTGCGGCGGACTTTCGAGACAGGAAGTTACGGAATGGGGCCATTTTAAGGGAGTAATTAAGGAAAGCAATAGGGATGCGTGGCGCAAAGCCAGTTGCGTGGGCGCAATCCAGAAAAAAGAGAGCCGAGAAAGATATAAGGCTGGAGGGAGCGTACAGCGCAAGCGGCAGTGGTCAGATCCTCTTAAAGAGAGAGTTGAATTGGATGGTGTACTGTAATACTGCACGAACATTCGACCCTCACATGATCGGCGGCCTCGGGCGTCGGTTCATTTTATGAAAGGGTGGTTCATCCCACCTGGCAAATGGATCAACAATATGAGAAATTTCTATTATTGAATCTGTGGTTGAAGCCCCTCTCTGATCCCCTGGAGAATGTTACTCGTACCATAGACCGTGGCTACGTTTGCCACCGCGCCATGTGCCTGACTTTAATCGTTATCATTAGTGGAAAACTTGGCCGTACGTATATCATCATCGTTTAGTCTGGAGTTAGCTATGCCCATAGCGTCATCAGGAGGACTAGTGAACTACCAAGTGGCTTCCCGTCCATTTAGGTTTTCGGGATGAGGAGCACTTATGCAGCTTATGCGACTGTAACATGATATATCCGCATAGTTAAGTGCAGTAGATGAATAATGACGAGCGCCCGAATACATAACTATGCTAGGAGCTGTTTCATGTTACATTCTTTAAGTTCAACTCGTACATTTAGGTTCGACAATGTTGTGTCTAGCTTAGACACAGATCATGATTGTTCTTCTTTGTAATCAAACCACAAATCAGCTCGCATGGCTTAGATGGTAAAGCGCAGCACTAGTAATGCTGAGATCCTCGGTTCGAGTCCGAGTGTGAGCAACTTTTCTTTTTGACAATCAATTGGTCCTTCTCTCTATATCGTATCTAGGGAGCAGTCTTAATTCCTGTGGGCAAGTGGACAATAGTGCAAGCATACACATCGAGATATTGAAATACCCATTGGTGTTGCGCTCGATTGCCTATGCCAAGTTTTACCTCGACTCTTGTCAGAGCTTGATATGCCCTTGACAAAGCAGTCAGTAACTATCCGCCATCTCTGTTTTTTACGCCTCCAGATCGTACTGCATGAGTAATGCCCTACTCAATATGCATAGGCCAGTACTTAAGCTGGGATCCCTGGGTGTCCCTTTGTACCCATAAAGATTCGGTCAATCAATGGCCGGCAATGGCAATAGGACAAAAACAGAGGAGCTTCTCTACGAGTTCTCAAGAGGCTGGTCTCGCCGACAAGAAATAATGCAGCCATGCATCCGAGGGAGTCCATTCAACTGCATATCATGAATCTCCTCTTTATAAAAAGTGCCGTATGAGTAGCTACGTATTACCTGCCGTGCATTGATGTCCAGCGCGCATGAAGAAAGACAGGGCAGGCGCTGCACGGAAAGCCGTTGCTTCCTGTCTTATATCGAGCCTACCTTTTCGTTGAGTGTGCAGTCCACTCCTTCCCATCTTGATCAGGTCGTAGGGCCTTATAACCTCAGCCATGCCTCTTGGCATTGTAATCATCCTCTCCTTCTACAACGTCCTCCTATCCATACATCCATCCATCCAGTCACTCATCCTCACATATCCAGTCACTCAGTTACTCAGACAACTCCTGCTTAGCCATACCTATACCTACACGGACATATACTTCTCGATCGAGGTACCATTCCAACTGTCTGACTCCCAGATCGGTAATGTGTGGGAGCAGGCGTGAGTGAGGATTGAGCTGACCATTCTCTTTTCTTCCCAGTCAATCCTTTCGATCGACGAGCATCATGCCTAGCCTTTCGACTTCGATCTTCTCCGGTGTTGCCGTCCTCATGGTCATCGGAGGAGTTGCTGCGAGTGCCGTTCCTCCTCAAACTCAGACACGAAACCTCACGGTGGCCTATTCCGGCGCGCACGGTGACATTGAGAGCTATCGCTCCCTGCCTATTCTGGCTCGAGGAGATGCGGAGGGCTTCGTGGATGCCAGCGACGACGAGCTAGACTCGTCCGCGGACAGCGATGCCGCCGTCGATACCTGCTACAACAGATCCCAATGCGAAGTCGGATACACATGCCTCAACAGTCGTTGCACTCTGAGCTGCATTACCGACAGTGACTGCTCCCGTCTGCATACATGTGCCAATGGGACATGCATGGACCCTCGTGGCGGAGCATGCCTTTCGAACAGAAACCGCTGCACGCATGACTATCAGTGCTGCTCCGGCCGATGCGACCGGTTTGCCTCTGTGTTCGGCAGCAAGAAGTGCAGAAGCTCCATCAGAATCTTCCCCTGAGCGGATCAGCCTGTGGATTGGAAGGGGTGGTCTACTGTCGTTTGGCAGTTCTCGTTTTTGTTGAATCCTGGATCCTATTCATTCTGTTATTGATATGTGCCTGTGGAGGGGATGTGAATGGTTGGTGCTCCTATCGGAGTAGAGTGTAGGAGTTATCACTCAAGTAATACTATTCCTAGTGTGAAATTGAGTCGGCTCTTGTTATTGTGCTGGACTTGTAATTGACGTAGCTTAGAAATGATGCTTGGGCTCTATATATTTTGCTGTTTACAATATATTTGTTAATCTGTCATGGATAGTCCAGTGGGAGGTCGGCCGTTAAGTCAATAACCTTGCTTAGGTAATTGCCAGCGGGACCGGTGCCTGGTACGAATCCGGGGGTCGTCGTTGTACTCGTGCGAGTAGTCCACGATTGCTACACGGCGCTAAGCAATGGAAGTGACCCTTGAGGGAAGCAATTCTGCAGAGACATTTCCACCCTAGGATGGCGTCACCAGATTACACCGTCCCGTTACAGGGAAGTTGGCAGTTTGGCTGGGCAACTACTTTTTGTTTTTGGTCTTTTTTGTATGTTTACATAGACTGCATCCTCACCACTTCAGCGCCCCGCATTCTATTTCTCTCTTCGCATACTCATTCTTCTCGCTAGCTTTAATTATTGACTGGTCCTCGGTCTCGGGCGTAAATATGACATTCCTTGACTATGGCAATATATTAATCGAAGTATATATATCTAGCGACCAAACCCGTTCTCCGAACTTTGTGTCGCAGCAGCCACTACCCTACAAAATTTGCACTGAGAATTCAAGGTCGCTTTCCAAACAGCTATAACATACTGGACTGCAGCCGTCTGAAATCATCACCCAGTATAGTCATGCCTGTCTTGACAGGCGAGCGGAACTGGAGTCGCCTTCCGTTTACGTACATTACCTTCACAAAATGCACGTACTTTCCTTCCTCGACTGCGTCAACAGTTATTGCCTTGCCTGCATCCCACGACAGTTGCACCTCTTTCCTGACAGAATATGTTGGCGAGAATTCCCACTTCTTATACAAGAGCTCACAAGAAAGGCATACTGCCGACGCCTTCGTACTGCATCCTTTCCATAGCCCACATAGTTCTACAACCACGTTCTTCACCGACCCCAGATACCCATCGATACACCTCCGGGGTGACCACGAGATATCGCGGCATAGTCTAAAATGCGGTTCTGGTTCGGATGGGCACTGTGGGAGAAGCTGAGTTTCGTGAGTCCCCTCGACTCAAAGTCGAGAGACCAACAACTATGGCTAACGAGCGAGAAAGGTGCTTGCGGGCCTTCTGGTAAGATGTGAAGTCATGCACCATGAGCTGTATGACTGATGCGACAAGGCCATCGTTCTCATCTATTCATTCTGTGTTCTCGCGTACAACCGAAGAGTGACAAACAAGTACGCCGCTGCCGAGGAATGTGAGAGGACTGAGCAGGCCACCGAAATGCAGAGGATTTTGGCCGAGACAAACGAGATTCCCTTCGGTGCCAGGGCGCTAGAAAAGGGCATCCAAGTCGAAGGCATTTGGACCCCCAAGGAGTATTCGCCAAGGCAGTCCATCATTATGCCGGGAGAAACGCCAAAATTCCCCAGTCCCGCGCAGAGTCAGCTATCGCTTGTCCCAACAAGTGGCGTCCAGCGGCCAACACGATCATATCAATTGGCGCCAAACCATGACCTGCTCAACCCACGCCTTTCCATGAAGATCCCAGACATCGAGCTCGGGGCCGAGGCAATGCGTGTGTTCTCTACACACAGCGCACCGCAGCCAACAATCCGTGCCAACATTGAAAACGAGACGCCCGTTGACCCAGGAAGAAAGAGACGGTCGAGGGGTTGGTTCAACCCTGGGAATTCCTGGGTAAGGAAGCCGTTCGAGAGCTACAAGCGCATATCAAAACTGGAAGGTATGTCATGTTAAGAAAGTAAGCTATGTTCGGACGAGGATAGCGCTCACTGTTGCTCAGGGCATCATCGAACCTCATCCGAAAGCTTTCGACGTAGGATTAGCAAGCTGATCGACGAGAGCATTCAGACAGGCTCGACTGAGACATACCAGTTAAAACCCATCAACCAGGAGACCATAGATAGCCCCAGAAATTAGTGACTGGACAGATAGTACACTGCAATGCGTTGGAAGCATGGAGCAGGCTAGCCTGTCTTCATAATGCCTTTGTCACATGTCACCATCAGCGATCATTGTATGTGGGGGTAGTTTACGAGAGCTTTTCGATTCATAAAGCCCGCGAGGCTCTGGGTCTCAGGCGAAACACTGTTGAGACATTGAGAGATAGAGCTTATAATCATATGGCATCCAGCGATCTGTATCACTCAGTATCGAGGAAGCCACTAGGCCTTTTGCATCTGTGATTGTACGCATGCTGAACCCGAAGTATTTGGTTGGCCCCGGCCCTCAGGCAGCAACGCCTGATAGGCATCAGTATCGACACGTGACATCGCGCCTGCCTCAACGCGTCCAATTTCCATCACTGTTGAGGGATGAGCAATAATGCTAATTCGCCACCCTGTCTTCAAAATTGCCAGCGTCCAGGGAAACCGCAGGATCAGAAAGACAGATATACTGAAGAGCTCATTACGCTCCTTTCACCATCGGCCCAGTTAATTCTGATCCAGGACGGCACAACCGATCTAGAACACGCGTCTCGCGTTCAGCCCGTCCGCTTTGTGCATTTCCTAGTCATCTCGCAACTTGAACAAGTCGAACAGGCTGTTGGTTGTCGTCAATTCTAAAGCCCAGGAGAAAATGACAGCAGACATGGAGACCCAAAATGACTACGAGGAAGGACTCCCTGGTCCTGGGGCCCCAACGCCGCTCTCAGCCTTAGAGGTAAGCATTTGGTGGCATCGCGGGATCCTTGGAAGCAATAACGCGGCCCTCCAGATTGCACGAAGTGTACTAATTTGTCCTACGAAAGGGAGTTGCGGGCCTAACTGGCAGAGATATCAAACTGTTTGTTGACGCGGGCTATCATACCGTTGAGTCAATCGCATACACGTAAGTCAACTGATAGTGGATTCTACAAGTCATTACAGAGTATCTTCCGAGCATACTGACAATCGGTCTTCGTGCTTTTCCAGTCCGAAGCGCTTGCTGGAACAGATCAAGGGTATCTCCGAACAGAAGGCTACCAAGGTTCTTGTTGAAGGTAATTCTGACGTGATTCCGACGAGCAATCACAATAGCATAACTGACGAATATGTATCTTGCAGCGGCGAAACTCGTACCTATGGGATTTACCACGGCCACGGAGATGCATGCGCGACGAAGCGAGCTCATTTCAATCACAACGGGATCCAAACAACTAGATACCCTCCTTGGCGGTGGTATTGAGACAGGATCTATCACGGAGATCTTCGGCGAGTTCAGAACAGGAAAGAGTCAAATTTGCCATACCCTTGCGGTGACCTGTCAGCTCCCTTTTGACATGGGCGGTGGAGAAGGAAAGTGTCTGTATATTGATACCGAGGGTACTTTCCGTCCCGTGCGTTTGTTGGCGGTTGCGCAACGATATGGGCTTGTCGGTGAAGAGGTTCTCGATAACGTGGCGTATGCTCGAGCCTACAACTCGGACCATCAGCTTCAGCTGCTGAATCAGGCCTCCCAGATGATGTGCGAGACTCGCTTCTCGCTGCTCGTCGTCGATTCGGCCACTTCATTGTACCGGACAGATTTCAACGGCCGTGGAGAGTTGTCCACGCGCCAAACCCATCTGGCGAAGTTCATGCGCACCCTGCAGCGCCTTGCAGATGAGTTCGGAATCGCGGTTGTTATCACAAACCAGGTCGTCGCCCAGGTAGACGGCGGCCCCAACATGTTCAATCCCGACCCGAAAAAGCCCATTGGTGGAAACATCATTGCACATGCTAGTACGACGAGATTGAGTCTGAAGAAGGGGCGAGGTGAGACACGAGTATGTAAGATCTACGACAGCCCGTGTCTGCCGGAGAGTGACTGCCTCTTTGCCATCAATGAGGATGGAATTGGAGACCCAAGCCCCAAGGATCTGGAGCATGAGTGATTGATGGAGGGGTGCATATATTATCTGAAGCTATGAATTAATGATTATGCTATGTATAATTTGTACTGTATGATGGCTCTTGTCGCAAGCACATGAAAAGCACCTAATTCACGTAGAGATATTTCTTGGTAGACAACCGGCAAAGGCGGTGGAGCGACTTTTTGGGCGCGTTGCTCCCGGCCGCGCCAAGACCTGTTTTTTGGAGGCGGCGCAAGAGCTGCGGCTTCTGCCCTTCAACTCCGCTGTGTTGCGATACTCTTTCTCCGCTTCTTCCCCAATCGGCCATGGAGACTTGAGTTGACCTCTTTTCATTATCGCGGAGAGTGGTCATATCTCAGTTCTCAATTCCATCATGGCGAAAATCTACAAGGATACCCGGGTCGACCTTCGACCGCACTCCCCAAGCACGGTCGTTAACATTCAGATTCCAACAGAAGCGAGCACCCAAAGCCGAGCTCGTTTCGCAATTTCCACCTTCAGCAGCCAAGAGCTACCGGTAGCGAGAGACGAAGAGGACTTCACCAAGCGATACTTGGCGACACAAGGATCGATTTACTTTCGCAAACGCAGCGTCTACCCCCGGGCCTTCCTCTGGCGAGTTGTCGATGACAGCAAGGTTCTGGAAATCCAATGCGTCGATTTAACGAAGGGTGGGGTCGAACACCACGAATACAATGTGACTTTGCGCTTGGAATTCGAAGAAGGCATCGTCCCTTCGGGTGTCGATCTTGCAGACTTGGAGGAGCACGAAGCGTTGAGCGTGTTCGTCCTTACGGCCGACAAGCACTTGCACACCTTGACCCTACGCCCTGAGTTCTTCCGGAGGACGGAGGCAATCGACGAGAACATCTCAGACTGGTGCAAGTCTTATGTTCCGGCGCCGCTGACATTTACGAACCCTCACCGACTACACGCGAGTAGCCCACTGGAGTTGTTCATTTCTCTTGACAATGGCGCGCTGTTGCGGTTAACGAGGAAATCTAGTGATGACGGTAACCCTTCCCCAGTTCCCCCATTCTCACTATGATATCCCCAAAATTGTGATTCTGGGTTACAGTATTGACGCGTCCGGTACCTAGGATCAAACTGGACACCGATTACTTTTGACGAGAGGACATGGGGTGCATCGATCCGCGGCTTGGTTAGATGGCAGGCGCAGCCTTCCATAAGATACAAGGGGCGCACGCTCGATACGAACGTCGCGAACGCCATCACAACGACGTCTGACCAGACCTATGTTTTCGCCGTCTGTCTCAATCATACCTTGAAGATTTGGAACCTCGCGACCAACAAGCTGGCTGCTACGAAAGATCTGCTGGACCGTGAAATCCAGCAGCCAGACGAATCATCATATTCGCTGAATCCGGCCGAATCGTCGTTCATCCGGGTCTTCAATATGGAGCGCGCGTTGGATGGAGGTTACCGCTATTACGTCGTCACTTATTCGCCCTTCGAAGATGGCCGCTTCAAGTTTTGGGCTGTGAAGGGCGGCCTGACTTCGCCGCTGGTGATTGAGGACCTGTACCCCGGGGTGGCTCTGAAGCCGGTCGATCCAGATTCAACCGGAAGTATGTTCTGGAGTATTGCCGATTTCCAAATCAAACCGGCCGAGGAGGGTAAGCGTATGGAGCTGTGGGTTTTGTGGAGGAATAGCAGTCTCTATCAGCTGTATACGCTGCACTTCAACTTTGAGTCTCTGCCCAAGGATTGGAATACCAATTGGGTATCCACCGTCATGGACAGCCGCTGGCAGGAGCCGCCACCCGTCATAGCCACTTCTGATGTTGTTGACCCGACGGAGAAATGGCTGGAATACTTGTTGAAGCCGAATAGGTTCTCGCCAGAGGTCCTCGAAACCGCTCTGGCAATCTATCAAGAGGCCCTCAAACCAATGTCGTCGTCCGGTTTCCCGAAGAAGACCCACAGCCTTGAGGAGCGGCTTTGTTCCACTATTGGTGCCCATGTATCTCTTCGAAAGCACGCCGATGATGAGATGGATTATACTCGCTATCGCATGGACACAGATTCCAAATGGCGCCAATTCTGGCAGATTGCGGATGATGTCAATAAACGGCGATTCGAGCCGGTAGCCCTCGCGTATGACGTTTATTATGAGACACCCTGGATGCTTCTCTCGGACGGCTGCGCGATCATTCGTGAATGTAGCTCCGCGGAGCTTATTCTGCACAACTCTGGCGCCGAGCTTCGCTCAGATGGGCCGGTCATTGTTGATCGCTGGAGGCATCGCAAACTGGAGACAGAGATTGGTAGTCTATTCGAGCAGGCGTCCCATCTGATCACTGTTGCATCCGGTTTCCGCAAGGCGTTCTCCGCCGAGCTGGAAGCTGCTTGCCAGGAGGCCCTTGACGCTGAGATTTTCACTGAGCCCTCTACGTCTGTGCAAGACAGGATGGATACTTTCCGCGAGCGGTGTGATTTCGGAGAGCGGGTATCTAATAAAGCATATGATACTTTGGTCTCCGTGATGAGTGAGCACCTGAACATCTCCAGGATGCCTAACGACGTGTTCTACACCATCATTGATACTATTCCGCTCGACTTCCCCGGCAAAAATTCCGATCTCTTCCACACTCATTTTGGCATTAAGGTTATCGTCAATGGTGTCCAGGAGACCATTATACTGACGCGGAAGACCCTGGCTGACCTTCTCTTCCTCGTTCTGTTTGTGGACGGAGAGGTCGAGCAGGAGGCTGGCTCGGACTTCGATGCGGCGGATCTGTTCGTGACTCTTACTACTTTGCTGAGGGAGTATGAGATGATGTCCTGGTTAAGCTCGCATTCACGAAAGTGCACCGACCGACCGACCAAACCGCCGGGTGGCTCTTCTCCTGTGGCCCTGAAAGACTCTTCTCGTAAGGATAAGGGACAAAGAACGGCCACCATCCTCGAGGATTTGTTTGCCAGTGACATCAAGCCGCGCCAAACCATAGGACTTCCTCAAAGCTACACCATTACCCTGGGAATCCGTGATATTCTGTCATGGGTCACCCGCCAAGGGGAGGTTGCCTACCCTAATGCTTTGGTTTACATACAATGCGACCTCATCGCTAAGAACAACATCGACCTTGCTTGGGACTTTCTCCGGTTCCAAGCAAGCACGTCTTGGGCGACCTACGTCAAGGGTCGACTATATGTGGCCATGTCTGAATACGACACTGCGGCTTTGTACTTCCGCAAAGCTGCCTACCTACTTTGTAAGTCGAATCGGCCTAGAACTGATCTAAAATTGATCTAGAATTCGCAGTAAACTAACGGAACATAGCTTGTGGAAAACCTCTAGGTAACTTGCACGAGATGTCGTCAACATTGCTGGACATTGTCGCGGTCGATTGCTTCCACAATGGCCTTCCCAAGTACTTCCAGCACATGGTGACGATTTTCGAACATGCACGCTCGTTCTCGCATGTCGCCGACTTTGCGAGCCTGGCGCTGCAGGCACTTGCCAGTGAGCATGGGAGCCAGCAGCATGATGTGGACTACTCTAGCCTGCGCTCAGATCTTCTCTCGCGCTTGTTCTATGCCTCATTGCAGAACTGCCAATTTGACCAGGCATACTCTGCTCTTTCCAGATACAAGGATCGAACTTTGCAGAAGTCCGCCCTGGGCTCTCTTATCACCGGCATTCTGACGGCCTCAGGGCCCGGCACGGCGGGTCTCCGGCAGATTCTCCACTTCCCCACGACTCTCATTCCTAACATCGCATCCTACGTGGACGAAACTTTGACTTCCCTTGCTCAAAAGCAGACCTCTTTCACCTCCTACCTTGAGTCGGACAACAAGTGGAGCGACGGCACTCCGGACTACCAACGCATCCTACAAGCGTACCGTATCGAAAGGGGCGATTACCGTGGCGCCGCTGAGATTGCCTACCGGAACGTGCAGCGCCTCCGCCATGCCCGCGACGTTTCCACGCATCTCATTCTCACCAGGGCAAGAGAAGCCGACGACAGTCACCCAATCGAAGAAGATGATCCAGAAAGCAAGGAAATCCGACACGAGCTCCTATCGCTCATTAACCTTCTTGCTTGCGTCGACAAGAGCGAATCGTACATCCTCGTGAACAAGGAGGACCCCCAACAGCCACCACCGTCATCCCTCGAGGCCAGACGCCGCAGCTTCCAGCACCATATGCAGCCAGACCACGAGGGCAACCACCCCCTGGATGACGCCGTCACCGCCTCTCCCTCACCCAACCCCGCCCCCATGGGCGGAACCCCCTCCGGGCGCCGTCTCAGCGCTAGCGCGACGGCAATCCGGCCCTCTAGCCGCCGCGACAGCAAGGCCTCCATCAGCAGTGCCGTCTTGAGCATCCCACAGAAGCGGGTAATAGTGACGCTGGATCACCTCCGCCGTGAATACCAGGCCGAATTAGACCGGGTCAGTCGGATCGAACGCGGTGATTGGGAGTTTGGGCTTCTTGATCCCGTTGGCGCTGAGGATGGCCACAACCACGACGAAGACACTACAATGGTGCTCGGGTAGAGTTGCCCATGTTGAATGGGGTCTGGTTTTTTTTTTTTTCCCTTCGTGTTCTTTCAGAAATCCGGGTTCTGGGCGTCTATGTATATCCTGTGTACAAACTAGTTTTTAGTCTCTGTTAAACCTAGACTAGTAGCTGACTTGGGTTATTTTTTTTGATGTGTATGGATGGAGTGTAGTGAGGTAGTTATGCTTTGAGCTTACTAATTGTCGCGAGTCGACGTTCTATATTGAAGGAGAGCCTGGAGTAGAAGGTTTCCATGTTCTGATTGCAGGCTTGTCGCAGTGTAGGCGGCGGTGGATAGCAACAGACCCCTTCGCATACTCAAACTGTAGCTTATTTGATTTTCTGTCCACAATCAATCAATCCAGGATTCAGACACCATGGACCACAGGCATAAGAACCACACTCCAATAATCCAATCCAGTGCCACCCCCTCCCCCAGGCTAGATCGACCCCCGCAATGATACCGTAGGAACCTGATCCCCGATTCCCTGATCGATTCCCCCCTCCCAATCCAGGCTGTCCCTGGACAATGAATTCCAAGCCTCAAGAACCATGACATCATCGCGGGAAAGAAAAACATTGCTGAATAGTAACAAAGAACCAACAAAAACCAAAGACCAAATCCTGAATGCAGATCCTATCCACCAAGCGCTACAACTCTACGAGTAAACCTTGGTAGATCAGTCTAGATTCTAGACTCCAGGCGTGCTTCTTTTCAAGGGCTGCATTGGCCGAGCACATTTCCCTGTGTCAGTGCCAATGCCGGGGCCCCCCTCATCCCGATTCCTGTTTTTCCGGCGAGGATGGCAGGTGGAGTGGGGAAGTCTCTCGCTGAATGCGCAAGCGGAGTATGCTGCTACTGCCGATCATCGCTCTGTATTGTGTTATGGGGTGTGTTGGATGTGCGATGATGCGATGATGCTGCCTGGATTCTGGCCTGGTGAGGTTGGGCCTAGACTGCAGGTGGGATCAATCCCGTTTTGGGTGTGTGGGTGCAGCTGGGGATTGATCTGCGTTGGAACAGTACGCTACGCTACGCTATGAGTACTTGTGACTTGACTTGGGGTCTGGATTTGTAATTCCGGGGTATGGTTTTTGTTGGGGAATAATGAATTGGAAATGCAGGGAAACTTCAGGAGGGAAGGAACAAAAGGACAGGGGAACGGGCCAGGGCAGGGGTACTCTTTTAATCCTTGTATCCTTGTATCCTTGGACAATAGTTTACCCTAATGCTCGGGGGCAGAACGTGTACATGTACAGTTGAATTAATTGGTTGGTTGGTTGGAGTTAGCTTAGAGCTACCGTGGACTCTTGTGGAAGGTTAGATGGATGCTACTGTGTACGGAGTAGACTTCTTCACCATACCGGAATATTGTTTGGTTTGGTTGTTTTCCCTTGCAGGGCTGGCCTGCTTACTACCAAGTTAGGTAAGTAACTACTTACCCACGACGAACAGGTTCGAGAGCGCAAAGTCACGAAAGAGCACGGTAGCCGTATCTGTACCATTCAGCACCAGCGCAGTACCCAGAATACAACCAGCCCCCGAACTAACTTAAAGTACTGTACTTTCGAACAGCATTATTGCCAATCCTAGGCCCCATCTGCAGGGATCATAAATGATGTTCAAGCACAAAGGCAACAACAAAGGAAGGAAATCTACTCCGTAGACTACGTGGGATCGGGTACGGAGCTTACTAGCTTAGCTCCCCATCACACTAGACAAGGAAGTAAGGCTGGATGGATGGAAGCAAATCCCGAGAGGTGTAAGCACTAGACTAGCTTAGCTTGAGTTGCAGGCTAATTTGTGCAAAGGATTTAGATCCTATTCGGCGTCTTTTGGTGGTTCGTTCGACTATACGGCAACAAGAGTTGAAAGGAAACAAAATCATATTTATCGAAGTTGAAAGGACAATTAGGGGGTTCCTTTGTGTCATATGAGTACTCTGTAAGGGGGCGGAAGGCAAAAAAAGTAAATGGCATCCCGGAGCCTGGAGGTATTCAGGGCGGGCACCTGACAGGCAGGCAGGCAGGCCCAAAAAAAGAAATCGGCCCGAGCCGCGGATCGAACGCGGGACCTCTCGCAGATATGCTTGGGGTTTGTAATCCCTAAGCGAGAATCATACCACTAGACCACCCGGGCGAATTGTTGAAGTTGGCGTCATTATTTGGTACTATCAGGAAACCGCGAAAGGGTAAAGGTAGGGCTAGGACTGTCGTGGGTTCGACAAGTGGTGGACGTGTTTGGCTGCTTGAGGGGGTATTTTGAGTCGGGTGTGGCTTAGTGGAGGTATGTCCGCGGAGTGATAGTGTTTGGTAGTTGAGGTAATGTTGGACTGTGACCTTATCTAGCATCGTGGGAGTTGCTCTACGATATATATATAGACCATGGGAGGCCGGGTATGCTGACCAGTAGATGTACTGGGGATGGGTACTGGAATCACCACGGCAGCTCGGCCTTTTGTCTTTCCCGTAGACCACACATATATGATTATCATTACATCGAACACAGACGTCCAAAAAACACCCAACAGCCCTGAAACCCAATAAGAAAAGACAAAGAAAGGAGGAACTGATTACCTTGAACCGAACACCATTGACAAGGCCTTTATTTTCATGACCATAATGCACCGCGCACCCCATCACGACGCTACTCTTGAGCCTCCCCATCCGTCGAAAGACTAGCATACAGCCTGCTGAAGTGAGACTTATCAGAAGCAAGTAGTTCGTGCGGAGCACCAGTCTCCACGACTCGACCCGCCTCCATGACAATGATCTTGTCATAATCGAGAATGGTATCGAGCTTATGTGCCACCGTCACAATGGTGTGGGCGCTGAACTTCTCACGGATGACTCGTTGCATGATATGGTCGGTTCCTGCGTCAACACTACACGAACACATTAGACGATAGTCAAAGCAGGAGGTGGATAGATGTATGTACCTGCTCGTAGCTTCATCCAGCACGAGGATGCTACCCGGCCGAAGTATAGCCCGCGCCAGACAGAAGAGCTGCTGTTGTCCATGCGAGAGGAAAATTTCGTCGATATCGGTGTCCAGATTCCCCTTCTCTTGAATCTGGGAGTAAATGCCCACACTTTTAAGAGCATTGCTAATGGCCTGATCCGAGAAAGAACCCGTGGGATCCATATTAGTTCGTACACTGCCTTTCATCAGAAACGGACTCTGGGAGACGCCATTCAGGCGAGAGCGAATCTCCTGGCGTGGTAGTTTAGTGATGTCCAACCCGTCAATCAAGATCTGACCCGAGCTAACGTCGAGCATGCGGAACATGCACATGACGAGGGAGGTTTTGCCACTATGATAGGTTTTAGTAACATGGCGACGTTCTCTGTGCGCAGTGATAACGTACCTGCCCGTTCTTCCGCAGATGCCGACTTTTTCACCCGCCCGAATAGATAGAGAAACATCGCTGAGCACTGGCTCAGATGGTCTATGGTGACGCGTTAGGAGATCATGAACTGCGACGAGGTGACTGTGACATACCTGTACTCAGCGGAAACACCGCTGAATTCGATGCGCCCCAGCGACGGCCAGTCCGGCGGAATCTCATCCCTCTCCGAAGGTTGGTTCTCTGACGGTACGTTCCGCGTGAACCACCTCACTCTCTGTATTGAGCCGATATGTGTTTCGAGATTGGTCCAGAATGTGATCAACAGTTTGATGCTCTGGCTGAATTGGATGACGTTAAGAAGAGCGACTCCGACGTACCCTATGCTGATGGATCCGTGCAACACGACAACAAGGGTGATCAGTAAAACGGCAATACCTGCCACTACCATATCCAGGGTGAGTGTAAGCCAGCGCTGAATAGCATATAGAAGATAGAATGGTCTCTGGGAATAGTCCAACAGCCTGTTGTTCTTTTCCTGGAACTCGTGCTGCCACCCGAAAGATCTAAGGGTTACCAGACCACCAAGGCAATCCGTGAAATGAGAGAAGAGCGGCGCTTTTGCTTCGAGGTCAAGATATCGCAGCTGACGCGATGTTCGAAGGTAGATCTTTTGTATCAAGTAGACAATGGTGATTACCACAGGGAAGGAGATCGCCACGTATTTGGAAGCGACCGCCATGAGTATCATCTGAGCTATGCAAAGAGCGAACGCTGCAGAACGATGAGCGCAAATCAACCCATGGCAGCAGGTAACAACTCACTAACGAATGTGTTTATAGCAGCGATTGGAAGCTCCATATCAATGAGCTGCAAGTCTTGGCTAAACCTATTGAGAACAGCGCCGGTATCCGTCTTGGTGAAGAATGACATGGGTGCACTTTCAGGTCAGTCTCATTACTGCTGACTGGATAATCTGAGAATCTTACCTCAGAACTGTGCTCAGAAGGGCCTTGTGAAAGACTTCACCGGATCGTGGCACCATGGTTATTACCATTTGCCTGTGCGAAATCAGCGAAATAGCCCGAGAGGAGCGCAACAGAAGACGACTGACCAGCACCCGACAATTAGGGATATCATGCCAATAGCCCCAAGCATTGCATAAATCCCCATATAGAACCCTGTATGCTTACCAGGCTCTGCATCGTTCGAGCTAGCCCACCATTTCACCCAGATACCTGTTTTGGTATTAGCAGATGTGAATGAAGATGATATGCTGCGGGAGGCATACTCGGAAACGACAAACAGAAGACGAAGCTAAGCATAGCAACAAGGAAAACCATCGTGGGAAGCCACCCGATAGCTCGGACATAGTACAAGTAGATGGACACGTCGCCACCTTTCTCATGTGTCTCCTTTTCAGCTTCATCGACCTTCTCAACTGTTTTGACCTGAACATCCGGTACAGGCAGCAAGCCGCCTTTATAGCTCCAATCTGGAAGGCTTAGATTAAAGCTCGAGATGTAGCCTCCAGCAGAATCAAGAGACTTGAAGCTCCCCTGCTCTGTGGCGCAACCGTTACTGTCCAGCACCACGATGTGATCTGCATATGGAACACGCTTCACTGCTGCTTTGTTAATGAAAATGCG